GCTGGCGGCTGGAGGGACGCCTGGGATGCCAGAACCCGCAGAGTGTGTTTGGATTCCCTGGGGAGCAGGGAGCCCTTTGCAAACAGGAGACCAGCTCAGCCCCAGGGGGTGCCAGGCCTGGACGTGTGTGACAAGAATGTCGCTTTCATTCGGTACTGTTTGTCCCCGGGGCCTAGCACGGGGCCGGCTACACACTAGGGGCTGGATTTGTCCAAGGATACAATTAATCCATCACTACTAATAACTAAAGAATTGCACTTTTATATGGATTTGCTTGTTTAAAATTTTTTTTTTTAATTCCTGATGATCCCTGTCCCCCTTCTGAGTATTTGCATGTGCTGGTCCTTCCACCAAGCGTGCCCTTCCCCGTGCTCCGTGCAAGGTCAACGGCTTCGCAGGCTCTGCTTGCAGTTTCAATAAAAGCTCTTCTGGCTGGCGCCGCGGCTCACTAGGCTAATCCTCTGCCTTTGGCACCATCACCCCAGGTTCTAGTCCTGGTCAGGGCGCCGGATTCTGTCCCGGTTGCCCCTCTTCCAGTCCAGCTCGGGGAGGGCAGTGGAGGATGGCCCAAGTGCTTGGGCCCTGCATCCACTTGGGAGACCAGGAGGAAGCATCTGGCTCCTGGCGTTGGATCGGCATAGCCTGCTGGCCATAGCGGCCATTTGGGGGGGTGAACCAACGGAAGGAAGACCTTTCTCTCTGTCTCTCTCCCACTGTCTATAACTCTCTCTCTGTCTCTCTCTCACTGTCTAATCCTGCCTGGCAAAAAAATAAAATAAAATACAATACAATAAAATAAAATCTCTTCTGTGAAGTTTGCTGTGACCCATCCCTGCTAAAGGAGACCCCATTTTCTTGCTCCCCATGATCTCAAGTCCTCAGCTTAATGTGCACCCTATTGTTTCATTTCCTCTTTCTCCCACCAGAATCCAAAGGGCTCCTTGCTCTTTGCTGGAGCAGGGGCCCGCATTTGGAAGACGCTGCGTACGTAATTGTTGGCTGCATGGATCTCGAACAGAGGAGTCCCTGTAATGCCATCAGCCACAGCCCTGCTCGGCCCTGCGCAGGCTTCCTTCCGGAACAAGAGGGAGTGACAGGCTCAGGGAGCCCCGGGTTTCTAGGCCAGCCATCGCCACGGCTACAAATCATTGGAAGGCCTTGCTTCACCCAACATTGCTTGTTTCGCTGAAATCTGGGTGTGCCCAGGGCAGGGAGGCTCTGCGTGGGGATGTCCCACCTGCCGCCAAGGCCACTGGAGCAGGCTAGGCTGGGTCCATCACACCAGTTCATTTCAAAGGCAGAAAAACCAAGACCCGGGAATGCCAAGGTCAGACGCATCAATCCAGAGCTTTGCCAGCAGAGTTCAGCAGAGCCGCAAATGCCTTGAATTCTCATTCAGTCAGTCAGTCCTAGTTTGTTCATTCATTGCACGAATGCTTACTGAGCACCTGTTCTGTGCGTCCGGCTGGGGGTGGAGCAACAGCCAGAGAGGCTCAGAGATTCCAAGAACTGAGTCAACAGCCCAGCCTCTCTGGGCTCAGCTTATTCTCTGACCTCTAAAGCAAGACCCCACTTTGCCAAGAGGGAGAGCTGGATACCGGGATAGGAGAAAGCGAAAGCAAGTTTACGCGGGTCATAGAAGAAGGAAAGGGAGGGGGGAGAGAGAGGAGAGAGAGAGAGAGAGAATTTGATCTGGGAAAGACTGAGCTTGGGGCCTGGACAGCGAGAATCTGAAATGCAGTAAAAAGCCAGCTGACCTAAGTGTAGGACCCTGAGTCTGAGCCCACCGGTGCCAGCCCGGGTTGCAGGCACCCAGGGACTGAGTGCTTCCAAGTGGACTAGGCCTGGTCAGGTGCAAAGCCCAGGAAACCCCTGCTAAAAGCTCATCACATGGGGTCTGGTGCTGTGGCGTAGTGGGCTAAGCCTCTGCCTGTGGCACTGGCATCCCATATGGACGTCGGTTCTAGTCCCAGCTGTCCCTCTTCTGATCCAGCTCTCTGCTATGGCCTGGGAAAGCAGTGGAAGATGGCCCAAGTCCTTGGGCCCCTACACCCGCATGGGAGACCTGGAGGAAGCTCCTGGCTTCAGCCTGGCCCAGCCCTGGTGATTGCGGCCAACTGGGGAGTGAACCGGTGGATGGAAGATCTTTCTTTTTGTCTCTCACTCTCTCTGTCTTTCTGCCTCTCAAATAAATAAATTAAAATCTTTAATTAAAAAAAAAAAAAAAGCCCACCATGTTGCCAGACCCTGTGCTGGACGCTGGGGCCCAAGTTAGTCCATGCTGACGAAATCCCAGAGACTGGACAATTTATACAACCACAACTTATTTCCTCGAAGCTCTGGAGACTGGGGTGTCCAAGATCAAGGCTCTGACAGATTCCCTGTCCGCTGAGGGCCCGATCTCCCTGCATCCTTCAGCAGTGGGCAGAGGCAGGGGCTGGGGGGAGGGAATCGCTGTGGTCTTACAGAATAGCGAAAGAGTTGAGCCAAGCCATGGGTGAAGGCAGAGCCGCCACGACTCAAGGGCTCCCCCACCCTAATCCTGTCTTCTTGAGGACAAAGTTGCAACCTGAATTTTGGAGGGAACACAAACATTCAAACCATGGCGCAGTCCATCCCAAACGGTCCTCCACGCCAGAGCGGTGTTCCGTGCGGCCGTTAGGACGCCGCTTGGGAGGCTCGCACCCCATGCCGGAGTGCCTGGGTTCCCACCCCAGCTCTGCCTCGGAGTCCAGCATTTCTGCGCATGCGCCCCCTGGGAGGCAACAGGCTCAAGTCCCTGGGCCCCTGCACCCGCGTGGGAGTCCCAGATTGGGTCCCGGATTCCTTCTGCCTGGTCCAGCCCTGGCTGTTGCAGGCATTTAGGGAGTGAACCATGGGAAATCTCTTCTTGCTCTCTGTCTCTCTGCTTTTCAAATAAATAAAACAGTAAATAAATACAAATGTTTTGAAAGATTTGTTTTATTTATTTGAAAGAGAGTTACAGAGAGGTAGAGAGAGAGAGAGAGGTCTTCCATCTGCTGGTTTACTCCCCAGATGGCTGCAACATCTGGAGCTGGGCCGATCCAAAGCTAGGAGCCAGGAGCTTCCTCCGGGTCTCCCACGGGGGTGCAGGGGCCCAAGGACTTGCACTGTCTCCCACTGCTTTCCCAGGCAGAGAGCTGGATAGGAAGTGGAGCATCCGGGACTAGAACCGGCACCCATATGGGATGCCTGCACTTAAGGCCAGGGCTTTAACCCACTGAGCCATAGCATCAGCCCCAGTACAAATTTTTTAAAAAGATTTTTATTTATTTATTTATTTGAAAGACAGAGTTACAGAGAGAGATAGAGACAGCGAGAGAGTTCTTCCATCTGCTTGCTCACTCCCCAGAAGGCTGCAATGGCCGGAGCTGCACCGATCCAAAGCCAGGAGCTTCTTCTGGGTCTCCCACGTGGGTGCAGAGGCCCAAGGATTTGGGCCATCTTCCACTGCTATCCCAGGCCATGGCAGAGAGCTGGATCGGAAGAGGAGCAACTGGGATTAGAACCGGCGCCCATATGGGATGCCAGCACTTCAGGCCAGGGCTTTAACCCACTGCGCCATGCCAGCCCCGGTACAAAATTTTTAATTAAAACCAAGTCCCCCCTTGGGGCTGGTGCCACGGTGCGGCAGGTTAAGCTGCCATCTGCAGCACAGGTAGCTTGTATGATTCTAGTCCCGGCTGCTCCACTTCTGATCCAGCTCTCTGCTATGGCCTGGGAAAGCAGCAGAAGATGGCCCAAGTGCTTGGGCCCCTGTCACTTACATGGGAGACCCAGATAAAGTGCCTGGCTCCCCGCCTCAGCCTGGCTCAGTTCCGGTGGTTGTGGCCATTTGGGAAGTGAACCAGTGGATGGAAGGTCTCTCTCTCTCTCTCTCTCTCTCCCCCTGTGGGTCTCTCCCTCTCTTTAACTCTGACTTTCAAACAAATAAATAAATCTTAAAAACAAAAAAAATAGTCCCCACCCTGTGGAGGTTCGCGACTGACAGAGGCCGTGACAGCGCTGAGAGCCTGCCCGCCCGAGGCTGCACCGATGGGCGAGAAGCCCTCCAGCAGGGCCCCCTGGTTCCCTCCTCTGTCTACACCGGCAACACGGGGCCCTCCGGGAGCACCAGCGCCGCGGCACACGCAGACCTGGGTCTGACCCAGCTCCACCTCAAGGTCAGCGTGCTACATTCGGCGCGTGACTTAACAGCTCTGAGCCCTCGTTCCCTGCCCTGTGGATCGGGAGTAATGGCTGTGCCAGTTTCACGGGGTCAGCTGCACAGCTCCTGGCATACAGCAAGCACTTGAGAAACTGTAAACCAGAAGCCGGCTTCTCTGCAGGGAGGAACCGTGTGCAGCGCAGCCACAAGACTCACCTTGAATGCCTTAGTGTGACTTTTCCAAGTCCAATTCATTTAGCTCCCCGCCCCTTTCTGTCCAGCCCCAGGCCAGGACCTGCCTGGTTCTCTCTGGCTCAGACCTGGGACCCCCTCCTCCTCCACGGCCTCCGCTTCAAGTCAGGCCCCTCAGCCTGCTCGATCCAGCTCTGGGTGTTCACGGGCCACAGTTCCTCTGAGCCCCCAGGACCAGCTTAAACCAGACCTCGCCCAGCCCGGCTTCTCCAATCCCTGGCACCGCCACCGTGCTGAGGGCTCTAAATCCCATCTGCAGGGGTCACTCCACAGCTCATGAGCCCTCGAAGGCCCCCCAGCACCCTCAGGGTCAAGTCCACGTTCTGGGCCCGGCATTCATCTCCCTTTGCCGTCCGGCTCCACCTCTCTGCTCCTGCTCTCCTGAATGTCACAGCCCCTGCCTTTGCAGGGCTGTCCACCCACTCCCAGGCCCGATCCACTCTCCTGCGAGGTTCAGGTCAGACAGCAGTGGCTTTGGGACACCTTGTCTTTCAAATAAAATGAAAATAAATAAATAAATAAATAAATGCTTCATTGTCAAATGAACAGAACTGGGCACTCAGAGGCCACTCGGTAAATATCTGTTGAGAGAATGATTTAATGAATGAATGAACGAATGCATCAGGTGAGAGCGAGGTAGGGGGAGAGAGTGTTGTTTGCAAACTTGGTGGCCTGGAGGACGAGGAGGTGGGGATTTGGAGAGGACATTGGGTGGCTGGGGCGCAGAGCAGGGGCTGGTGGTATCCAGGTAGCGGAAGTGCCTTGTGAGAGCCCCAGGTGTAGCCGGAGAGGACCAAGGGCAAGAGAAACAAGGTCAAGTTTTGGCTCCTCTACCGCACAGCTGAGTGCTCCTGGCAGAGTGCCTCCCGCTCCCCGGCCTGTTTCTGCATTAATAACAGGAGGAGTGTAGAAATAATGCGTGCGCCCAGCGTGCCAGGAGGACAGGTGCACGGGGCCGTGTGGGGCAGCCTCGGGCCACAGCAGTGGCCTGAGCATTGGTCTTGGGGCCGGCCAGGTGTGGGCTCAGCTGCCAGCTCCTGCTGGCTCATTAGCTGCGCGCCCCGGGCACATCCTCTTTCCTGCAGAGGCCTCGGGTTCCTCCCTGTGGCTGGCTGGGGCCAGGGCCACGATGAGCTTGGTTGACCAACTCCACTGCCCCGAGGCCCACCCGGGACACGGTCAGATCGTCCGTGTTCTGCTTCTCACCGAGGGCTCCGTTCCCAGGGGTCTGGTAGAGGCTGCGAGCCTCCACCGGAGGAGGAGGAGGAGGAGCCAGTGGGCTCCTGGGCGTTGGATCCTGGTCCTGCTTGTTACGCTGGAAGCTGAACCCAGAGAGGCTGAAAGACTTGTCCAAGGACACTCGGCCAGTCGGCTTCTCAGCCGGTTTCAGAGCCCAGCTCTCTTCCCGGCCAACAAAAGCTGTTTCTGTTCTAGCCGATGCCATGGCTGATCCTTGCCGATCGATCGGTCACGAGCCCCTTGTTCTTCCACGCTGGTGCAGCCGCCTCTGGGGGCCAGAGGCCGTGCTGTGTCCTTTGCACCCTGTGGCCTCCGTGGTCATCACAAAGAAACCGAGGCTCAGAGAAGGTGAGTGATTTAGCCAGAGTCACACGGCAAAGCCAAAGCAGGTCCAGGATTCAAGTTCACGTCTTCTGTCTCAGAGGCCTCTGTTCAGAGCCGACTCGACACGGAGAGGCAGATTTGGAAATAACTGCTGACAAGGCGATGTGGTCAGTGTTACTACAGATGCTGTCCCAGGCATGCAGACGATTTCTTTCCCAGTGGTCCTTAACAAGGCCCACATTGCTAATCCCATTTCGCTGATGAGCAAACTGAGGTTCAGAGAGGCAGATTCCCCGCCCAGGATGAACTAAAGCCTGTCTGTCTGTCTTCTGAGCCCATGCCGCATCCCACCAGGTGCCCAGCCCTGTCCTAGGTGCATTGAAGCAGAGATGAACAAGACATGGCCCCTGTGCCCCCCTCCAGCCAGCAAAGAGGCAGATTTGGGGCCTGTTGGGGCACTGTCCCATCTCCTCTTGGTGACACCGATGGGAGCCCGTTGGCACCAGCCCAGCCCTCCCCCCACCCAAATGCCCACGGGAAAGGCCGCGGGAAGGAGGCGGTGACAGCCTCAGGCCCCCAGGGCCGCCTTGTCCGCTCAGCCTGACTCTGAGTCATCGCCCACACCTGGCAGAGGCCTCAGGCAGCCACGCTGGAAATAGACAGGGAGGGGCAGGAGGGGCACCTGCGCTTTGGCCGCCGTTCCCACCCTCCCCACCAGGAAGCCGAAAAATGTTACCGGAGGGCGCCCACCTGGAATGACCGGGCTGGGGGATGCTCGTAGGAGTGCCGCTCCCCTCCCCCCTCCCACCTCAAAGGCCATCCCAGGGGCGATGAGGGTCACCAGGGGACCCTTGAGGATGCCGCCCCTCCCATGGCGCCCCGCGGTGCTCCAGCGCTTTCGGAGGGGGGGGCTTGAGTGCTATGCATGTCTCAACGACCTCATGGACACTCACTGCTCCCCAGGAAGCTGTACTGAGATTAAGGCCGTTTTACAGCTGAGACTCAGAGAGGCAAAGCAACCTACCCAAGACCACACAGCCCCCTCATGACACAACAGGGTTCTCCCCCATGTTCTCCGCCCAGTCCCAACCTGGACGGCTCTGTTCCCACCTGCCCCGCCCACAGCACCTTCCCCCTTGGCCCAGGGACTGGCTCGCTCACGACCACCCTGGAAAGCAGAAATCAACCCATTCACCTTGTAGGTTCCTCCCCACCCCTCTCAGCCCTGCACAGCTGCCAGCCCGAGTGGGGTCATGCTGCCCCCTGACTACAGCCCAGGGTGGCTCCCCATTGCCCTCAGATACAGCCTCTGACTACAGCCCAGGGTGGCTCCCCATTGCCCTCAGATACAGCACTGCCCTCTGACTACAGCCCAGGGTGGCTCCCCATTGCCCTCAGATACGGTGCGGGCAAAGCCGGCCTCTCCACCCTCATCGCTTACCAGGACACCTCCCAGGCCACCCTTGCCTGAAGGGTGGCCGAGGTGTGTGACACCCGGACCCGGTACTTGGCATCGGGTCCGTGTTCCACAAACCTCCCTGCCTTGCCCCTAGCGCTGAGCCAGCAGTGGGGGCGGAGTCAGTGACGGGACAGGATCGAGGGATGTGCCCGAAGCTTGGCGGATCTGCCCGAAGCCGTTGGCGTTACTGGAATTTCAGCCCGAAGCTGTCGGTGTTACTGGAATTTCAAGATCTTCTGAAGAGCCTCGGGACAGCAGGGGCTGGAAGGGCGGGGAGGGGAGCAAAGGGAGCCTCTGTCACAATAGGGCCTTTGCTGTCTCTGCCACAGTCTAGAAGGTAGACACACCCCATCTATAGAAAGGAAAACTGAGGTCAGAGAGTGATAATCCACCCCGGGTGTCATGGGCACCCCCCACCCCAGCATCCCCGGGCTCGGAGGCCAGGAGAGGGGCAGGAGGATGGGGGGGAGGCGCTCAGCTGGAGGCCTGCTGTAGAGCTCACAGTGGGCGCGAGTGTGAGTGAGCGGAGGCGAACAGCTGGGCTTGATCCTCCGAGACCTGCAAGTTCAAGACCTCCCCTCCCACACCACGCCCATTCCCCAGCTGGAGAAACTGAGGCCCGGTGCCCTGCCCAGGCCTCCATGATGTGGAGGGCAGCAGTGGCTGGCAGGAAGGCAGAGGGGAGCAAGGAGGGGACAGTGTGGCGGCAGAACCCCCCTCTCCCAGGCTGGGGGCTGGGGGCTGGGGGCCGGCAGCGGTGGCCCTGGCCCCTGGGCCACACGGCGTTCTTCCTTCCTCCTGCATGTGTTTGAAAAGGTCACCTATTTTAAACCTTTCTCACTCCACCCTGCCCCTCCCCAGCGAGAGGATGAGCTTCTCTAACCCACATCAACAGCTCTGCTTAATACCCAGAGAGCTTTCTCGTCCGGGGCCGCCACCATCAGACTCCCCCCGGCCGCAGGAAGCCACCCTGGCAGCCATTTGTGTCACAAGCATCCCTGAGCAGATCTGCAGTGCCAAACACTTTACACTCAGCAAACGCACCGAATTGGTCACCCTACAATTCCTGGGGAGATAGACGTGGAGGGACTGCTTCACAGCAGGTGGTCAGGGAAAGCTTCTCGGAGGAGGTGACTTAGATTTGGGGAAGAGTGTTCCAAGGAGAGGGAACAGCAGCCGCAAAGGCCCTGTGCAGAATGGAAAGGTATGTCAGAGTAGTGGTTCCCCAAGCAGGGCCCCCCAACTAGCAAGGGCGGCCTCCCGGGGAACCTGCTGGAAATGCAAGCTCCTGGGAGCGAGCCCAGACTTAGAGGCCCGTGAGGAGACCCAGCAAACTGGGTTTTCAACAAATCCTGCTGCACCTTTGATTTTGCTACACCTTGAAGTTTAGAGTCTGCACTAAGGCTCAAAAAGGAAACAGGGAGAGTGTGGGAGGGCCAGGTTGAGAGCCTCGCCCCAGCCCGCCCCTGCCTCACCGCCCTGGCCCACTCACGGTGAAGGCGAGTGCTCCCCGTTCCCTCTGGGGGCACTCAGAACCTCTCAGCCGGGCTTGGAGGCCCCTCGACATCTGCTTCCGCTCACCTCGCCGGCTTCGTGGCTGTGCTTCTAAACACAGCTGCTGCTTCTCTTAGTCTAGAGCACGCTTTCTCGGGGCCAGCTGAGTCCCGGCTGCTCCACTTCCAATCCAGCTCCCCACTAATGCATCTGGGAAAGCAGCGGAAGATGGCCCAAGGCCTTGGGCTCCTGTACCCATGGGGGAGACCTGGAAGAAGCTCCTGGCTCCTGGCTTCAGATTGGCCCACCTATGGCCACGTGGCCATGTGGGGAGTAAACCAGCTGATAGAAGACCTCTCTCTCTCTAACTCTGCTTTTCAAATAAGTAAATAAAAATAAAATGTTTTTTTAAAAGTATATTCTTCCTCCACTTCTTCACTTGGCTTATTTTCACCCATCCTTCAAAACTTACCTCCTTCAGGAAGCTCCCCCTGACTGCCTCATCAAAATGTGGACCCCTCTCTTAGCTTCCAGCCCCCGTGTTGCCCCATCATTGTGCTCACCACACAAGCTTGACATTAGCTGGGGGAAGTAGAAGAGGACGTGAAAATTAATTATTTTCCATAGAATTGTAAATAACACATGAACAGGTCTTTATTATAAAAATTGCCAGGAGCCTGGAACTCCGTCCGGGTCTCCCTTGTGGGTGGCAGGGACACAGATACTTGAACCACCACCCGCTGCCTCCCGGAGTCTGCATGAGCAGGGAGCCGGAGCCCAGGACCGCCGACACGGGTGCAGGGTCCCAGGCGCTGCCTTACCGCTGTCCAAACGCACTGCTGTTTGGTACTCAACCCCTGAGTGTGTTAACCATGTTTTGATTTTATGGTGCTGGGGTTTTGTTAATCCTGGGGCGACTCCCCTCCCAGGGCCAGCTGAGTCCTGGAGATGGTCAGCAACCTGCCTGTGGATGCGACTTTCACACCCGTAACAACCATCCAGCCCACCCAAGCCCACAATTCCATAGACCCCCCGTACTTGACTTTCACAGCCCTACACCTGCCCTACACTGCCCCTTCACACCAGGACCCACTACTAGGCAACTAGACACCCCCCGGGTAGCCCAGATCCCACCCCTTTCCACGGAAACCACTGTCAAGCCGGCACTCTGCTCCCACTCCTTTGCCCCCTCCTCAAACCTGGGGCCTCCCCGGGTGACAGGGTGACACCCCCACCCTGCCCCCGCCGGGAACTGCAGCTTTCTCCATGGCCTTGACCTCCCGTGATGTCACCTCTATAAACCGAGATGCTGCTTCCTGTCTGAGAGCACTCACCTCCAGGTGCGTGCGTGGTTCCCTGGGCGGACAGCGGTCAGGGAGCGATGACCTCACGGCTTTCCCGTCTCTGTGGGTGATGCGGTGTGGCCCCGCTCCCCTGGCCTCGTCAGTCTCACCGCTGTTGATCCACAGAAGGAACCAGAATCACCGCCCTGCGTCCCCTGCTCCCAGCAGCCCCCGGTCCAGAGAGATTTCCTCTGGGTGGGGGCACAGCAGCCCGGATGTCAGCGTGAGCTCTGTCAGGTGGAGCCACATGGAGGGAACGCGGACATGGGGGTCAGAAGGTCGGTGTGTGTGACCAGGAGCAAGTGACCCCCCCATCTCGGACCCTCAGCTCCCTCAGCTCCCAGGGCGGCAGTCAGACTGCAGGTGATCCATGAAGCCCCCACGGAGGTGCTCCAAACACAAGCAAAGCCTGCGTGAGCCCCCATGGGTGCCCCCCGACTGATGGTCCTCCCCCGACTCCCAGCAGGTAGCTGGGCTGCCACCTGAGGGTAGCCAATGGAAGCGATGGCAAAGGTGGGGGTTTCTTTAACTATTGGAAAGGCAGGGCATCGGGGAGAGAGAGAGAGAGAGAGAGAGAGAGAGAGAGAGATCTTCCACTTCCCAACTGGCTGCAATGGCTGAGGCTGGGCCACGTGGAAGCAAGGAGCCAGGAGCTCCATCTGGGACTCTCACATGCATGGCAGAAGCCCAAGCCCTTGAGCCATCTTCTGCTGCCTTCCCAGACACACAAGCAGAGAGCTGGATCATCAGCAAAGTAGCCAGGACTGGAGCCAGCACTCTGATATGGGATGTGGGCACCAGCGGTGCAGGCTGCAGCTTAGCCCACTGCACCACAGCACCTGCCCAAGGCTGGGGCTTGAGGAAGGGAGGGAGCAGGAGTACGCCCAGGCTCTCCCTCCACGCCGGGTCGCGTGGCTGCGTGGAGCCCGTCTACCCAAGCCCACAGCTGCAGCTGCCACAGCTCCTTCCCCAGACCCCTGCAGGCTCACAGTGGTGCCAGTCCCTGCGTGACCCCTGTCCCTGACCGCTGTCCACCCTGTATCGATGCCTTTCTTCAACTCTCTCTGTTGCACCTTCGAGGGAGTCCTCTGTCGGGACCCTGACTGATTTCCTGATTTCTATCAAGGCGCTTTTCCTGTCCGTCCCTCAGCAGAGCTACAGAAAGAAGGTCCCTGTGTCCCCAAGGATAGACCTGTCCTGGGGGCATCTCTAGAGTTAGAGAGCCCAGTGGGGAGCCAAGGCCTGGGAGAGAAGTCTTTGCAAAGGTTCCAGTCCCAGCCGCCCCCTCAGGTAGCAGCCCCCACTCTCCACCCCCCACCCCCATGAGGCCCTGATGTCCCCTCCTCCACCTGAACTTTGCAAGGTCAAGTCTGCTCTGCCCAACCCCCTTCCTCTAGCCCAAGTGTCCCAGCTGTGGGACCGTGACTCACATGAGTAACTCATCCAGAACCAAGCATTGCTCCAGAAGCCAACACATTCATTGATGCAGAGAGAGGGTAGGGGGTGAGGGGGATGGGGCAGCTGAGGTCGGCTGGGCCGGAGGTTCTCTTTCAGGAATCAGTAATAAGAATCAAAACACTGGCCAGATACGAGGCACCTACTATGGGCCAGGCACTGTTGTAGAACTTTAAAAAAAATTTTATTTATTTTCATTTTGTTCAGAAGGTAGACAAAGCTCTTTCACCTATGCTTCACTCCCCCAATACTTGCAGCAGGCAGGGCTAGGCCAGGCTGAAGGCCTCCAGGTCTCCCTTGTGGTTGGCCGGGACCCAACTACTTGAGCCTCCCAGGGTCTGTATTAGGGAAAAGTTAGAGCCAGGAGCTGGAGCTGGAGACAGAACCCAGGCTCTCTGTTACGGAATGTTGTGTGTGTCTTGGCCACTCCCACTTTCCAATTTTACTTATTTGAAAGAAAGAGAGACAAGGCACACACAGAGAGAGAGAGAGAGAGAGAGAGAGAGAGAGAGAGAGAGGTATCCCATCCACTGTTCGTTCTCCAAATGTCTGCAGCAGCTGAGGCTGGGCCAGGCTGAAGCCTGGAGCCCAGAGTTCAATACGGGTCTCCCAGGAAGGTGGCGGGGTCCCGAGTGCTTGCGTCACCATCGCCTGCTGCCTCCCGGGGTGCTCATTAGCAGGAAGCCACATTGGAAGTGGAGCGGCCGGCAGGCAGACTAGGCATTCGGATATTTGGCTGTGCCAGACGCCCAGCCCGTGTACGGGATGGGTGTGTTCGTTCATTGACTCACTTGGCAGGTATTTCTTCAGGGGCTGCTGCACTCGTGTGCACGGTGCCATCGAGACCTTGGGATACAGCCCCGAACACGACGCTCTCCGACTGACGTTCCACAAAACAGCCCACAGGTGGGCATCTGTGGCCTGACTTAGCCCTCGCAGAAACCTGCCAAGGGCACTCGCTGGTGAGTGGCTGAGGCAGGATTTGAACCCGGGCCTGCCAGGCCTCCGAGCTGGAGCCGTCCGCTCAGAGAAGCACAGGAGGCGCAGGAGGCAGCTTGGAGGAGTACGAGCCCCGTCCTCAGAGAGAGGAGCAGACAGGAGGCGTGCAGGCTGCCATCTGTATTCCAGATGCCTGCGGTGACTAAAGTGCAGGCTCAGGGGCCCCGCGTGACACAGCCAGAGAAGGACGCGCTGAGACGACGCTCGAGTCCTCGCTGGCCTGCCATTTCCTCCTTGACGTAACATTTCTGAGTCACGGTCTCAGAACTTGTCTGGGTTTCACAATCTACCCAGATGGCGGCATCCCACCCTGGGGAGTCAGGGGCTTGTTTTGGAAGGTTGGAGGGAGCCAGGCGGGGAAAGGTGAGCACAGGACCCCGGAGGCCACTCATGGAGCCGGCCTGCCCAGGGCCGGGAGCGTGCCCTGTCGGCGCAGCCGTCCTTGTGGGGAAGCCTGTGCTGAGTGCAGGCAGGGGACCAGGCACAGCTGGGCAGTACATCCGGGGTCAACTGAGTTCAAGGTCTGGCTCTGCCACTTTCTGATCATGTGACCTCAGGCAAGTTCATTCACCTCTCGGAGCCTCAGTTTCTTTATTTTTGGAAAATGGTAAATAATAGTAAATAAAATAAAATGGTGCCGGCGCCGCAGCTCACTAGGCTAATCCTCCGCCTTGCGGCGCCGGCACACCGGGTTCTAGTCCTGGTTGGGGCGCTGGATTCTGTCCCAGTTGCCCCTCTTCCAGGCCAGCTCTCTGCTGTGGCCAGGGAGTGCAGTGGAGGATGGCCCAAGTCCTTGGGCCCTGCACCCCATGGGAGACCAGGAAAAGCACCTGGCTCCTGCCATCGGATCACTGCGGTTCGCTGGCCGCAGCGCGCCGGCAGCGGTGGCCATTGGAGGGTGAACCAACGGCAAAGGAAGACCTTTCTCTCTGTCTCTCTCTCACTGTCCACTCTGCCTGTCAAAAATAAATAAATAAATAAAAATAAAATGGTGACATGTCGGTGCCTACCTTGCAGGGTTGCCGTGAGAACTCAACGATGTAATGCAGGGCACTGGGGCTGTGCATTGAAAATGTCAACCATTATTTTAAGATTGATTGATTGATGTATTTATTTGCTTTAAAGGCAGAGTGACAGAGAGAGAGAGAGAGAGAGAGAGAGAGAGATCTTCCATCTGCTTGTTCACTTTCCAAATGGCTGAAGTAGCCAGGGCTGGTCCAGGCTGAAGCCAGGAGCCCGGAACCCGATCCAGGTCATCATCTGCTGCTTTCTCAGGGGCACTGGCAGGAAAGCGGATCAGAAGTGGAGCAGCCAGCACTCAAACTGGCAGTCTGATAGGGGGGTGCCAGTGTTGCAAGCCAGTGGCCTAACCTACTGCACCACAAGACTGGCCCTCAATTATTCTCACCATCGTCGGTCTCAAGTGGAGAAGCAAACACGCAGCCCGAGCACAGTGCCCACGCCCACCCACTTCCATGTAATAGTAACCAACTGTGATGCACAGGTTCACGGTCAGGAGTTATCCTCCACTTCGAGCAGACCAGCACCTGGCTTGGCTCCGTTCCAGCATCGCCTCTCTCTGCCTTCTTACCCTCTGTACTTATAAACTAGAACTTACCATTCTTTGACCTTGTCGCATTCATTTATCAATTACTGACCTCTCCCATAAAAGCACAGGGTTCCATGACAGGCTTCCAACATCCTGATCCTTTTTTGATTCCCCCAGGCTTGGCACATAGTGGGTGCTTTCAAAATACTTGTTGATGGGCTGGTGCCTTGGCTCACTTGGTCAATCCTCCGCCTGTGGCGCCGGCATCCCATATGAGCACCGGGTTCTAGTCCCGGTTGCTCTTCTTCCAGGCCAGCTCTCTGCTGTGGCCAGGGAGTGCAGTGGAGGATGGCCCAGGTGCTTGGGCCCTGCACCCGCATGGGAGACCAGGAGGAAACACCTGGCTCCTGGCTTCAGATTGGCGCAGCATGCCGGCCGTAGCAGCCATTTGGGGGGGTGAACCAACAGAAGGAAGACCTTTCTCTGTCTCTCTCTCTCTCTCACTGTCTATCTGTCAAATAAATTAAAAAATAAAAAATAAATACAAAAAATTGTTGAAAGAATGATGAATAAATTAGATCCGCCCAGTGGCCCTCTACAGGCACCGGCACCTCCTTTTTACAGAGGAAAGAAACCGAGGCTCAGAGAGGGACGCTGATTGGGTGTTCAGCCCAGGCTCACCTGTCTTTCTTTCTTTCTTTCTTTCTTTTTTTTTTTTTTAATGCTTTTATATATTTGAAAGGCTGAGAGATCTTCCATCTGCTGGTTCACTCCCCAAATGGTTGTAATAGCCAGGGCTGTGCCAGGCCAAAGCCAGGAGCCAGGCACGCCATCCAGGTCTCCCACCAAAGCAGTGATGATTGACGGGTGCGGGGATCAGAGCGGCTCGGCTTCTCCCCTCCTCCTGCTGCCGGGTGACGTGCAAGCGTCTGGCTTCAGCAGAAGGCCTGTTTCTTGATTCTCACACTGAGTCTCCTGTCCAGGTGACCATGAATGAGCCTCCTGTCCTTACTTGGCCTCAGTCTCCCATCCAGGGAACAAAAAGGGTACAAAATGTCGCAGGACTGTTTTTCAGATGGAAAATCGCCGATTTTTTAGAGTTTAATATTTTAGGGCCCGGCATTGTGGTGTAGCGGGTAAAGCCACCTCCTGCAAAGTCGGCATCCTACATGGGAGCCAGTTCCTGTTCCGGCTGCTCCACTTCCAATCCAGCTCCCTGCTAAAGGCCTTGGGAGAGCAACCATCTGAGGAGTGAACCAGCGGATAGAAGATCTCTCTTGCTCTGTGTCTCTCCCTCTTTCTCTGTAACTCTGACTTTCAAAATAAATAAATGTATCCTTTTTTTTTTTTTTTTTTTGACAGGCAGAGTGGACAGTGAGAGAGAGAGACAGAGAGAAAGGTCTTCCTTTGCCGTTGGTTCACCCTCCAATGGCCGCCGCGGCCGGCGCACTGCGGCCGGCGAACCGCACTGATCCGATGGCAGGAGCCAGGTACTTATCCTGGTCTCCCATGGGGTGCAGGGTCCAAGGACTTGGGCCATCCTCCACTGCACTCCCTGGCCACAGCAGAGAGCTGGCCTGGAAGAGGGGCAACCGGGACAGAATCCGGCGCCCCGACCGGGACTAGAACCCGGTGTGCCGGCGCCGCAAGGCGGAGGACCAGCCTAGTGAGCCTCGGCACCGGCCATGCATCCTTTTTAAAAGATGTATTTTTTTCCTTATTCATTTGAAAGAGTTACAGAGAGGGAGGGAGGGAGGGGGAGATTGAGTGAAAGAGAGAGAGAGAGATCTTCCATCAGCTGGTTCACTGCACAGATGGCTCCAACAGCCGGAGCTGGACCAGGCTGAAGCCAGGAGCAGGAGCTCCGTCTGGGTCTCCCACGTGGATGACAGGGAACCAAACCCTTGGGCCATCTTCCGATGCTTTTCCCAGGCTGTTAGCAGGGAACTGATCAGAAGTGGAGCAGCCAAGACTTGAACTGGCACCCATACGGGTGCTGGCACTGTAGGCCACTGCTTAAACCACAGTGCCACGGTACCAGCCCCAACATTTGCCACTTCTTAGCACTGGGCAGCTTCACACTCCTATCTTCTAGTTATTGGGTGTTAATATTTTTTATCTGAGATTTAATTCACAAATCAACAGATCAGAGGTTTTCTTTTTATAAAAAATATTTTAAAAGTTTATTTGAAAGGCAGAGTTACAGAGAGAGAGGGACACACACACACACACACACACACACACACAGATCTTTCATCCCTTGGTTCATTCCCCAAATGGCGGCAACAGCTAGGATTGGGCCAGGCTGAAGCCAGGAGCCAGGAACTGTATGTGGGTCTCCCACGTGGGTGGCAGGGGAGCTCAAGGACTTGGGCCATCTTCTGCTGCCTTCCAAGGCACAGTAGCATGGAGCTGGACTGGAAGCAGAGCAAACAGGACTTGAGTCAGCCCTCTGCTATGGGCTGCTGGAGTTTTTTTTAACTTACTTTTGTCATCGAATCTGTTCTTCTTGAATTAAATTTGACATGAAGACCCGATATATAAACAAGATAGAAGTGGGGCCGCTCTGAAGAGCGGGGGGAGCAGCATCAGAACGCAGCCTGCTCAGAGGACCCCTTGCCTCCTCCAACCTCAGTGGTCTTGGAGGCCCTCCCGCTGCACCCCAGGGCTTGGAGGCAGCGGACAAGCGTCACTTGGGAGGTTCAGGAGTCCCAGGGAAGGGTGGGGGCCCGCTCTCCCGACTTGCAGAGAGCGCCGCTCCTGCAAGCGGCTCCTTGAGCCGCAGCCCAGCTGCCTCCTGGGGGTCATGAGAAAGGCAGCGAGGACGGGCTCAGGGCACAGGAAGTGGAGCCGGCCAGCTGCGAGGCAGTCGCTGGTACTGCGGCCTCCTGGCTGGGCTGCTGACATCACAGCCCCAGGAAGCAGCTGCCCAAAAGCCCTGGCTGTTCCTCATTCCTCCTCTGGGAAAAGCAGCCACCAGCTGTTGCCGTCCTCTTCTGACTCGCCGGTTCTTTCTGGACTGTCCCCTCGCCAACCACCCACTTGAGCAGCGGTGGCCACTTCCTCTCTGCGGCCACTGACTCCACACCGGAACTGCACCCTCCTCTCCACGGAGCTCATCACTGCACGCGTGACATCACTCATCCTGTCATCACATGAACAAGAAGCTGGGGCCGTCCCATGCCCATTTCACCGGGGATGGGAAGTACAGAGACGCAAGCGTGGCACAAGCTCAAGCAGCTGGGACATGCGGAGCCGGGTGGGTTCCGGCTGACCCCGGAGTGCATGCTGTTTGCATGAATTATCACATGGCCCCAGAGTGAATCAACGCCAGGTGGAGATGTCTTCACCCGTGAAACCGTGAGATTGTGCATGCCAAACCCAGCGTCTTCATCAAGGGTAGCTGTGGCCTGATAGCCAGGCTGACTTAGGCTATCACTGTCACTGTCATTGTCACAGACTGTCACTGTGACCCCCCCCACACACAAAGGGGGAAACTGAGGCTGTGGGAAGCAAAGCCAACTGCTCAAGATGATAGACCAGGTAGGAGCCAAAGTCTTGTCTAAAAGACACTAGAGACAGGGAGAGCATTTGGCTCAGCACTTAAGCCGCTGGTTGGGACACCCACACGTCCTAACAGAGTACCTGGTTCGAGTCCCAGCAACTCCACTTCCGCTCCAGTCTCCTGCAAACGCACACAGTGGGAGGCAGTGGTGATGGCTCAAGTAGCTGGGTCCCTGCCACCCATATGGTAGACCCAGCTGGAGTTACTGGCTCTGGGCTTCAGCTTGGTCCAGCCCTGACTATTGTAGGCATCTGGGGAGTGAATCAGCAGAGGAAAGATCTCTCCTCATCTCTCTCTCACTCTCCCTTTAAATAAAATGAAAATAAATAAAAGATTTTAAACTTGAAGCTATTTCCTATAAGCCATGAATTTTCTGGCCAGGGTGTTTTTCCTCCTTGCCCTCCTCCGGCAGCTGCAAACTTGGTGGCTTCTAACATTAGACATATTTTTGTTTGTTTTTTTTTTTTAGATTTATTTATTTATTTGATAGGCAGAGTTACAGAGAGGCAGAGGCAGAGAGAGAGAGAAAGAGAGATCTTCCATATGGTGGCTCACTCCTCAAAGCTTCAGATCGGTCCAGCTCCAGCCATGATGGCCGTTTGAGCTTCTTCCCGTCTCCCACGTGGGCACCCCAAGGACCCAAGCACTTGGGCCATCTTCTGCTGCTTTCCCAGGCCACCAGCAGAGAGCTGGATTGGAAGAGGGGCAGCCAGGACTCGAACCGACAGCCATAGACATATTTTCTCTGACTGCTCTGGAGGCCAGCATTCCAGACTTGAGGTGCTGGCTTCCCCTAGACGCTCTGAGGGACAACCCGTGCCACGCTACCCTGTTAGCTCCCGGCGGCTGCCAGTGCGGCTCGGCATCCTCGGCTCGGAGTAGGAGCGCCACAGCCTCTGCCTCTGCCGGCACACTTCTCCCTGCGTCTTCAGTCTCACTTTCCTTGTTCTTGCAGGAACTGCAGTCTTTGGTTCAGAGTCCACCCTGTACACAGGATGATCTCATTTCAAGGTTTTTTGTTTGTTTGTTTGTTTGTTTGTTTTTTCAGGCAGAGTGGACAGTGAGAGAGAGAGAGAGAGAGAGAGAAAGGAGAAAGGTCTTCCTTTACCATTGGTTCACCCTCCAATGGCCGCTGTGGCTGGCACACTGTGGCCGGCGCACCGCACTGATCCGAAGCCAGGAGCCAGGTGCTTCTTCCTGGTCTCCCATGGGGTGCAGGGCCCAAGCACTTGGGCCATCCTCCACTGCACTCCCTGGCCACAGCAGAGAGCTGCCCTGGAAAAGGAACAACTGGGACAGAATCCGGCGCCCCGACCTGGACTAGAACCCGGTGTGCCAGCACTGCAGGCAGAGGATTAGCCTAGTGAGCCACGGCGCCAGCCCGTTCTTAATTACATCTGTAAATGCCCTGCTTCCAAATAAGATGCTCTCCACAGGTTCCGGGGTCAGAGCTTGGACTACGATACTTCACAAAGTTCATAGCGGGATCAGGCCTTCGGTGACACTGGCATCCCATATGGGCACCGGTTCCAGTCCCGGCTGCTCCACCTCCTAGCCAGCTCCCTGATAATGTGCCTGGGAAAGCAGTAGAAGACGGCCCAAGTCCTTGGACCCTGCACCCACGTGGGTGACCTAGAAGAAGCTTCTGGCTCCTGGTTTTGGTCTGGCCCAGCCCTGGTCACTGTGAACATTTGGAGTGTGACCCAGTGGATGGAAGACCTCTCTCTCTCTCTCTCTCTCTCCCTCTCTCTCTGTCTCCCTCAATCCTCTTCTGTCACTCTGCCTTTCAAGTACATACAATAAATATTTTTAAAAAGAAAGACAGACTTCAATGATTGAAGGTTTTTCCTGGTTTTGTCCCAGTTTCTCCACTTGTAAAATGGGAATAGGAACAGCATTTGCCTCACAGATTCATTACTAGTTTGAAGTGCAAGCCCCCAAGCATTCATTCACCCAGGACTTCATGAACACCTCTAGGCACCCGGCATGGAACGTACAGTGAGGCGCTAGCACAGTGCCTGGCACCCACACTCAGTAGTGTCAGTTCCTGTCCTCTTTCCCCTAATTCACGGGTCGGGTGAAAGTTCACTATAGAAACACAAGGCAGAGCAGGCTGCAAGCCAGGAGGCACGCACGCGATCCGTGTCCTGGAAAGCCAGGAGGATGTGGCCAGATGGGGCTGCAAACGCCTCCCGGGGGAAGTGGGCTTGCACAGGCCCCGGAGGACAGAGCCCAAGGAGAGGAGGGAAGATGCCACGCCGCAGTGACCAAGACGAGGAAGTGAGAGGGCCAGAGGCTAGGCTTGGGCCAGTGAAGCATCTGCCAAAGTTTAAAGACAAGACGAGAACAAGGGTAAGTACAGATAGGAATGTGTGTAACTGGGGCCAGGGCTGTGGCGCCACGGGTTAAGCTGCTGCTTGGGATGTGGGTCCCAGCATCTCCACTCCTCTGCCTGTCAAATGAGACAATAAATCTTTGAAGAAGAGCCTGCACGTCACTGGATCACAAGCGCTCTTTCAGTTTTTCTCCAGCCTTGGCATCTCCCACAAGGGAAGCTCCATACAGAATCTCCTCCTCTTCTTCTTTTTAATATTTATTCATTTATTTGAAAGGCAGAGTTACAGAGAGGGAGAGACAGAGAGAAATGTCTTCCATCCGCTGGTTCACTCCCCAAATGGCTGCAACAACCAGAGCTGAGCCTATCTGAAGCTAGGAGCCAGGAGCTTCTTCCAGGTCTCCCACGTGGGTGCAGGGGCCCAAGCACTTGAGACATCTTCCACTGCTTTCCCAGGTGCATTAGCAGGGAGCTGGATTGGAAGTGGAACAGCCAGGACTCGAACTAGTGCCCATATGGGATGCCGGTGCTGTAGGCCGAAGCTTTACCTGCTGCACCAAAGCGCCGGCCCCCAGACATCTCTTCTACATTTAACACGTCTGCATTTCCTCTGTAACAGAGCTTCTGGAAGGCAGGGGCTATATATTTTTTAAATGTGGATTTCTTTATCTTTAAAAAAGAGAAGTATTTATTTATTAGAAAGGCAGACTTATGAGGAGGGTGGCAGGAAGAGAGAGGTCTTCTATCTGCTGGCTTACTCCCTAGATGGCCACAACACCCAGGACTGGGCTGGACCAGGCAGAAACCATAAGCCAAAAATTCCATCTGGGTCTCCCATGTGGGAACAGGGACCCGAACACTTGAGCCATCTTCTGCTGCCTTCCCAGGCACATTACCAGGGAGCTAGAACAAAAGCGAAGCAGCTGGGACTTGCACCCGCACTCTTACATGGGACGCCCACGTCACAGGCAGCAGTTTAACCAGCTGTGCCACAGTGCTGGTCTTGGGGGCTGTATTTCACCACCAGTCCATCCCTGCCTCTTAGCCTAGGATTTGGAATACAAGCACTCAATAGGCATCTCATTGAACAAATGAGTTATTTTTATGTTTTGTACTTTACATAAGAGATGACATTTTGAATAGTGTGCTAAAACTCTTGTTTCCTGACCCAGGGGCAAGTAGAATATTGATATGCACAAGCAAAGCCAGACCGGGTTACTTAGCTGAAGGCAACTTCAGCGACCGGCCCAGAATCCAGTGGGACAGAGCCATGCGCACTTGCTGAGCTAAACTTAGGAACTTGCAGGTTGTGCTCTGAGCCCAAGAGGCTGTGGTGCTTTGGGTCAGCCAAGCAAGGGGGGATGCAAAAGACTCTCTAAACAAACCAGCAGCTTGCAGCTTGAAATAGAGCAGCAAGGGAATTCACAGGCCCCAACCTGGTCTTCTGCTCAGGGCTCTGCAGACCTGCAGGAGCCGGCGAAGCTCACCCTGCCTGGCGATAAGAAACTGCGGCTTCTTTAGGTTTATTTTGTTTCTGGAGCCACCAGATCCAGTGGGCGGATCATGTCTTGAAATAGAAGCATCTCAAAAGGCCTGTGAATCATTTCTCGGTGCAGGCCTGCAAGGTTTCATATCCTGTTCTCAGAGTTACCTTGGGTGCTGTGTGCATGTGTGTCTGTGTGTATTGTTTTCAGTGTTGTTTGCTTAGGATTTAGTTTTGAAACTTTTACTTTCTTTTAATAGCTCTCTCTCTCTTTTTTTTTTTAAGCTGGATGAATTTTTCAAATGGTTTCTGCGAGAAAGTTCAAACCCTGGAATGACTAAGTCTTCAGAAGAATTCGGACTTTGTGAAGGGAATTTGTTTGTATCTGGTATGAATCACCCAGCCGCGGATTTCTGCAGTGAGAAGACCTCTTAGAAAGTTTCTGGGTCAAGCCCTCATTGCACACATGGGGAAACTGAGGCTCGAGATGGGAGATGGGGCAGCCAAGTCCCATAGCAGGTTGGTGAGAGTGACAGGACCAGAATCAGGTCTGAGTCCCAGAGCCAGTGTGGGATTTGTGACAAGCTCTCAGGCACCCAGTCTTCATGTAGGCAGGTGTCTTTTCTTTTCTTTCTTTTTTTTTTTTTTTTTCAAGATTTATTTATTTATTTGAAGAATTAGAGAGAGAGATTTTCCATCCACTGGTTCACTCCCCAGATGGTCACAACAGCCAGGACTGGGCCTGGCTGAAGCCAGGAGCCAGAAGTTTCATCTCCCACATGGGTACAGAGGCCCAAGGACTTGGGCCATCTTCTACTGCTTTCCCAGGCCATAGCAGAGAGCTGGATCGGAAGTGGAGCAGCGAGGACTTGAACCAGTGCCCTTATGGGATGCCAGCACTGCAGGCAGTGGCTTCACCGCTGTGTCACGGTGCAGACCCCTACGGGTGTATTTTCAGTGTTAGCTGAGCAGCAGGTGCAATGGCTGGAGAACAGTATTTGAGACACCTGCATCCCATAGCAGAGTCCATGCGTCCTAGTGATGGCTCAGCTTCCCGTTCCAGCTTCCTACAAATGTGCACCCTGGGCAGCAGCAGGGGACACCTCAGGTACTTTGGCCCCTGCCACCACATGGGCAACCCAAATGAAATTCTGAGTCCCTTACTTCCACCTGCCCCAGGCCCAGTTCTTGTGGGCATTTGGGTAGTGAACCAGTGGATGGAAAATCTCTCCCTCCCTCCCTCTCTCTCTCTCTCTCTCTCTCTGTCTGCCTTCTAAATGATTTTTTAAAAATTAAAAAAGATTTAAAAATAAAAAAGTTAACAGAGGAACAGAAAGAACGAGGGGGTTCTAGGCAGTCAGGATTCCCCAGCATAGGTCTAGAAGGAACGGGAAGGGCCGCATTCACTTGTCTAATCCTCCCCGGGATCCCTTGAGGCGCTGATTCTCAACCAAGGTTGACTTTGCCCCCAGGGGACATTCGGCAAGGTTTGAAGACACTTAGGCCTGTCACCACCTGGGTGGGGGTTGCTACTGGAATTTTGTGGGTAGAGGCCAAGGAAGTTTCTGAACATCCTGCCCTGCCCAAGACAGGCCCCCACAGCAAGGACTCACCCAGCCCACAGGTGTGCCAGAGCTGAGCGACCCTGCCAGTCACAGGGCCTGCTTGTGGGTGGGGCCTTCAAAAAGTTCGTGGAAAAGGCATACCATGAAAAACAAACTACATGGATTTCAATGTTCTTGCCCCAAAATAAATATATCTTTTAAATTACTTTTCTTTTTAGTCATGTATTTGAAAGAATGAGAGAGAGAGAGAGAGAGAGAGAGAGAGAGAGAATCTTCCAACTGTTGGTTCACTCCCCAGATGGCTACAATGGGGCAGGGCCAGGTCGAAGCCAGGAGCCTGGAACTCAATTCAGGTCTCCCACATGGGTGGCAGGGACCCAAGTACTCGGGCCATCACCCGCTGCCTCTGAGGGTGTGCATTAGCGGGGAGCTGGATCAGAGGCAGAGTAGCCAAGACTCAAACCAGACCAGGGTCTTATGCTGCTGCTCCGACATGGCTGCCTGCATCACAAGTGGGGGCTTAACCTGTACACCTCTCGAACTTTTCCACGTCCCCTCATATCCACCCCCGTGGAACTGCTAAGAGACTTGGGGTTCAGAAAGTGCAGCTGCTCTCTAACCTGGCTCTGGGCCAATCCATCTCCTTGTGCCTCAGCTTCCTCATCTGCAGCGCCAGCGTCTGTACTCACTCTAGTCGTTAAGTAAGTTACGTTCGCAACACACTTAGAACAGTGCCTGTTGCCAGATAAGAGTTATTTGAGTGTTCCCTAAAAATATCTAAATAAATGATCAGTCCTGCCTGGGATATGCAGAAGAGAGGTGGAAGAATTGTAAAGAAAGCCCAGGTTAAAAAACCTTGAGGCCATTTAAGGACACAGGGCTGGGAAGATCGGAGGCCTTCTCGGTGTATAAGGTTTGGTCCACCTATGTGCCCTTGGCCATGAGATTTTTCTTAGATCCTGCTACCCTAAATGCAGCTTAATTAAAAAAAATATTTATTTATGTATTTATTCGAGAGGTAGAGTTACAGACAGAGAGGGAGAGACAGGGAGAGAGGGGTCTTCTATCTGCTTGTTCATTCCCCAAATGGGTGCAATGGCCGGAGCTGGGTCAATCAAAAGCCAGGAGCTAGGAGCTTCTTCCAGGTCTCCCACATGGGTGCAGGGGCCCAAGCATTTGGGCCATCTTCTACTGCTTTCCCAGGCCATAGCAGAGAGCTGGATCAGAAGTGGAGCAGCCGGGACTAGAACTGGTGCCCATATGGGATGGCAGCACTGCAGGCGGCAGCTTTACCCACTACACCACAGTGCCGGCCCCTTGCCTCCAACTTCAAAGCCAGGAACACAACACCTCTCTGACTTTCTCTTCTGCCTCCCTCTTCCACTCTTTCAACACACTTCTTTATTTTATTTACTTGCAAGGCAGAGAGAGACAGACAGAACTCCCATCCACTGGTTCACTCTCCAGAAGTCTGCAACAGTCAAGGCTGGGCCAGGTCAAAGTCAGGAGCTGGGAACTCAACCAGGGTCTCTCATGTGGGTGGCAGGGACCTAGCTTCTTGATCTGTCACCTGCTGCCTCCCAGGGTGTGCACTAATAGGAGGCTGGAATAATTGGGAACAGAGTGAGGACTTGAACCCAGGCAATCTGCTCGGGGCTCAAGTCATCCCAGGCAGTGTCTTCACCACCTGGCCAAATGCACACCCCTTCCTCTCCTACTTCTAAAGGCCCTTGTGACTATATTGGACCCCCCCCCCCAATAATACCGGATAACCTCTCCTCTTTTAAGGCCAACCGATGAGCATCCTTAATTCCATCTGCAACCTGCATTCCTGCTTGCCGTTTAAGATAATACATTCACAAATTCCAGGGATTACAACTTGGATGTCTTTGGAGTAGGGAGGACTACTGCTCTGTGCATCACACTAACCAGCAGGGAGTGGTGGGGCCGTGACAACCCAGAGAGCAGGTGCTCCCTCTAAAGGGGCAACTGCCGCCCTGCCCCGGCTGCGCAGTGCATGAAGAGGGCTTTGGGGTGACGGGGTCAGCTGTTTCAAGTGAAGCTGGGAAAGCAGATTTTCAGGTGAAGCTTTCTAATTTTGAAATCACTGGGGCAGGTTTATAAAAAAAAAAAAAACCTCATTGGCTAGATTTGGCCTGCAGCCACCCAGGTGTGGCTCCTGCGTCCACCTGCACCCTGTCGGCCGTGGGGAGATGTTCTCGGGCATTTCCAGGCTCTGCAGGCCCTCAGGGATGCGGAACCAGCTGGGCTCGGGGGCGGGAAGGACCGCGGTCAGGGGCGTGGTGGGTACTGGAGCGGGCACCTCGGGGGAAAGTTCAGCCGGAGAAGGGACCTGCCAACTCCCTAAGGGGCCAGCCGTCACCTGCAGGAAGCAGCGGTGCATCAAAGGGCACAGGAAGTCAGGCTGAGGCGGCCTGAAGAAATGAACCAGAGCAAGGTGGGCCTCACGCCTCGAGTCTCCAGGACAGACAAGTTCAGCTTTTCTCATTTCAAAACAGCCCAGTTCTTCCCCTGGCGGGCGGCAGGCGGCAGGTGGCAGCCGGCAGGGGCGGGCCTGGGAAGGCGGCTTTTTCACCTTGCGCCTTTTCCTGATGCTTGAATTTTGAACCAGGTGAAAGTATTTCCTATTGAAAATACTAACTCGAAATCCTGTCATGAACTTGGGATCGTTGAAAACACAATAGTTGGCAGCGGAGGTGAGACCATGAGTGCGGTTGTCATGGTGACCGGACTGCACCTGTGATCTGACCGCAGGAAGGCTCCAAATGGTGAGAGAGGTGTTCACAAAGCTGGCCAGCTTCTCCGACCGACCAGCTGTCATCTGAGCTGGTGGCTGCTCTTCCTTATGCTCACATGGCAGGACTTCAACAAGCCAGGCAGGTGCCGGCTCCAGTTCTAGCCCATCCCATTCTGAATGGCGCCCAAGCTATGGCTCTGGAGCTAGCCAAGGCCCTTCTACATGGTGTGCTCGTGAACAACATATTTAACTTCTCTGAGCCTCAGCTTCCTCACCTGTAAAATGGGAGAGACACTATGACCTGCTTCATAGGTTGTATGAAGGTGAATGAATTAGTGTGGGGCCAGTGGTGTGGCCCAGTGGGCTAAGCCTCCTCCTGCAGCACCGGCATCCTTATGGGCGCCAGTTCTTGTCTTGGCGGCTCCAGTTCCCTGCTAACGCACCTGGGAAGTCAGTGGAAGATGGCCCAAGTGCTTGGGCCCTTGGGCTTGGGCACTCACGTGGGAAACCAGGAAGAAGCTCCTGGCTCCTGGCTTCGGATCGGCGCAGCTCCAGATGTTGTGGCCATCTGGGGAGTGAACCAGCAGATGGAAGACCTCTCTCTCTGTCTCTCCTTCTCTGTGTCTGTAATGCTACCTCTCAAATAAATAAATAAAATCTTTAGAAAAAAATTAATGTGTCTAAAGCACTTGAAACAGCACAAAATCAGGGCCCATAAATGCTACCTCTTGTTATCTACTATCTTCAACCTTTTCTTAACCTTGTTTAATTTTTATTACAGATTTAGCATGATTTTAAAATATGTTCTACTTACTCATATTCAAAAGAAAAGGAGACAGAGCTCTTCCATCCATTGGCTCGTTCTCCAAACATCTGAAACAGCCAGGGCTGGGCCAGACTGAAGCCAGGAGTCTGTAACTCAATCCAGGTCTCCCACAGGGGCGGCAGGGACCCAGGAACTTGAGCCATCACCTGCTGCCTCCCGGGATGCACATCAGCAGGAAGCTGGATCAGAAGCGGAGCCAGGACTGGAACTCGAGCACTCTGATGTGGATGAAACTGAGACTTGGCTCGGAGAAGGTAGGCAGATTCCACGGGGACACTGAGTTTGGAGACAGAAGACAGGAGTGTGACCCCCAGACCCCTGGCCTTCAACCTGAGGCTGTCTGATGGTTTGAATACATGGTCGCAGGGCTGAGTGGGGCCGTTGGTTTCTTGGTTTGTGAGTTTGGTTTGGGGTCAGCCCCTCCCACCACCGTGACCCCTGTAGATTCCAGGGTGAGTCAGGTCAAGTCTCCCGCTTGTATTCTGGGCTCAGCTTTGGAACCAAGTTCCTCTCTCCACCACGAAGGAGACTGGGCTGGGGAGGGGGTGTCAAAGCATGCCGATGGCCCCAGATAACTCCCACCAACTCACGAGGAGGCTTTCCAGAATCTGCAAACTACCCCAGGCTCCCTGCTGCCGTCCTGACCCTTGCCACTGAAGGCGCAGTTGCTGCCATGGAAAACCACCACTGGCACCAAGCTGGCGGGTTAAAAGGCCCAGGAAGGCAGAGGGCACTGCCCAAGCCACAGGTCAGCAGCACAGCGTTGCAGGCCTGGAGCCTCCACTCCCAGCTCAGTGGGCCCCGGGCAAAGTGGCTTCGCCTTCCTGGGGCTTCTGAAAGCTGTCAAATGGGTCAACAGCAGTGCCTATCATGAAAGTTGTTGGGAGAATTCCTTTTTTAGAGAGTTTTACGGAGGTATAATTTGCATACCATAAAATCCACCCACATGAAGTCTGCAATTCAATGGTTTTTAGCATATTTACAGAGTTGTGCAACCAGCACCACATCAACTTTGGAATATTTTCATCACGCCCCCAGAATCACCCTGTGCGCATTAGCAATGACTCCCTCTCCCGGCCACCAGCTCTAGGCAACCACTCGTCTACTTTCTCTCTGTGGATTTGCCTCTTCTGGAAGCTTCTCATAAGTGGAGCCACACACTGGTGGTCCTTTGCGCCTTGCTCCTTTCGCTCGGCCTCCTTTGAGGTCCACGCCCGCTGCTGCCTCTGTCTGCTATCCCACTGTGTGATGAGACCGCATATTCGCTGATCATTCGGCAGCTGATGGACATTTGAGTCGCTTCCCGTTGTTGCCTGTTGTGAACGACGCTGCTAAGAGCATCCCTGTCTGTACAAGTCTTTGGGTAGACATACGCTTTCTTTTTCTTTTTTTTTTTTTTTTAAAGATTTATTTATTTATTTATTTGAAAGGCAGAGCTACAGAGAGGCAGAGGCACACAGAGAGACAGAGGTGTCTTCCCTCCACTGGTTCACTCCCCAAACAGCTGCCATAGCCAGAGCTGCACTGATCTGAAGTCAGGAGCCAGGAGCTTCTCCCAGGTCTCCCACGTGGGTGCAGGGGCCCAAGGACTTGGGCCATCCTCCACTGCTTTCCCAGGCCATAGCAGAGAGCTGGGTCAGAAGAGGAGCAGCCGCGATTCACTCCGGTGCTCTGATACGGGTTGCAGACATCCCAAGCGGCACTTTAACCCGCCACACCGTGATGCCATCTCTCCGTTTAGCTTTTTTAAAAACTGCCAGACTAATTTCCAAAGTTTTACACTCTCATCGGCAATGTATGAGGGTTTCTTGAGAGAATTAAGTGAGATATGTAGCAAAAAGTGCTTAGCATGATGCCTGGTCACAGTAACTCCTCAATAACCAGGAGCTGGAACCAATCAAAGCTTCAGTAGAATCAGGTACAGTCCGAGTACCAGCAGTCCCGCTGCTCCCGCCCGGGCAGAGGGTGTCTCAGGGTGACAGCGGCTCTGAAGCATTGACCACATTCTTGCCCCACCCCCACCCAATCATGCTCTCATTCTTTATGCTCTGTAGCCCAGCACTCAGTACTCCCCAGACAGCCCGCCTCCATCCGCTTACCCAATCTTTTTGGTTTTTAAAGATTTCTTTTAGAGGCATAACAAGTTAAGCCATGGTCTGCACCACCAGCATCCCACATGGGCACCAGTTCAAGTCCTGGCTGCTCCACTTCCGATCCAGCTCCCTGATAAGGTGCCTGGGAAAGCAGCAGAGGACGGCCCAAATTTTGGGCTTCTGCACCCATGTGGGAGACCCGGAGGAAGTTCCTCACCATCACAGCCATTTGGGGAGTGATAAAAGATTAATTTTATTTGGTTGAAAGGCAGAGTGACAAAGAGAGAGGGAGAGATAGATCTTCCATCCACTGGCTCACTCCCCAAATGGCTGCAATGGTCAGAGCTGGGCCAGGCCAAACCCAGGAGCTAGGAACTTCATCTGGGTCTCCCACATGTGTAGCAGGGGTCCAAGTACTCGGGCCATCTTCTTCTACTTTTCCAGGCACTTTAGCAGGTAGCCGGAATGGAAGTGGAGCCGCTGGGACTTGAACATGCATTCTGATATGGGACGCCAGCCTCTCAGGCTGTGGCTTCATTGGCCGCACCACAACACCAGCGTCACTTCCGCAACCCTGATGCGTGTCCGCCCTTCCTGCTTGTGCCCGGGAGAGCTTGAGCAGCACCTCTGTCCACCCCATTTTCTGTCCTCTCCCTCCTGTCCTCCTCCTGACTGTTCTCCAACTGTCAGAATCTCAGCTGGCTTCAAAGCTCAGCTCCTCTCCTCTCTCTATTGTCTGCCTTGACTTTCTTTTACCAACCAGATCCATGTTGTCCTATCAGTAGCCACTAGCCAGGTTTGTCTATTGAGCACTTGAAATGTGGCCAGTCCAAACAGATGTGCTGAATTGTAAAATGCACACCAGATTTTTGGAGTTAGTATGAAAAATCGTATTTTTTGTATTAATTACATGCTGAGATAATTTTTGGATGTCATTGGGCTAGGTAAAATAAATTATTAAAATTAATTCAGAGCCAGCGTTGTGCCTCAGCAGGTTAAGTGCCGTTTGCAACGCTGGCATCCCATATCAGAGCACTGGGTCAAATCCTGGTCATTCTGCTTCTGATCCAGCTCCCTGTTAAAGTGCCTGGGAAGGCAGCAGAGGATGGCCCAAGTACTTGGGCCCCTGCCACCCAGATGGGAGACCTAGGCGGAGTTCCTGAATCCTGGCTTCAATTTGGCCCAGCCCCAGCGGTTGTGGCCATTCTGGGAGTGAACTAGTGGATAGAAGATCTCTCTCTGTGTAACTAACTTTCAAATAAACAAAATTTAAAATAATCACAGGGGCTGCCGCTGTGTCGTAGAGTACTAAGTCCCCACCTGCAGTGCCCACATCTCATGGGACACCAGTTCGAGTCCTGGCTGCTCCACTTCTGATTGAGCTCTCTGTTGTGGCCTGAGAAAGCAGTAGAAGATGGCCCAAATGCTTGGGTCCCTGCACCCTCGTGGGAAACCCGGAAAAAGATCCTGGCTCCTGGCTTCAGATCGGCCCAGCTCCAGCTATGGCAGCCATTTGGGGAGTGAACCAACGGATGAAAGATCTTTCTCTCTGTCTCTCCTTCTCTCTGTAACTCTGCCTCTCAAATAAATAAGTCTTTTTTAAAAAATAAATTAAAATAATCACAAATTTAATCTCACTATCCTATTTTATTTTATTTTTTAAAGATTTATTTATGGCCGGTGCTGTGGCGCAGCGGGTTAATGTCCTGGCCTAAAGCACCAGCATCCCATATGGGCATCAGTTCTAGTCCCAGCTGTTCCACTTCAATCCAGCTCCCTGCTATGGCCTGGGATAGCAGTAGAGGATGATCCAAGTGCTTGGGCCCCTGCACCCGTGTGGGAGACCCGGAAGAAGCTCCTGGCTCCTGGTTTCGGATCGGCGCAGCTCTGGCCATGTGGCCAATTGGGGAGTGAACCAGGGTATGGAAGATCTCTCTTTCTCACTGGCTCTCCTCTCTCTGTATGTAATTCTGACTTTCAAATAAATAAATTCTGACTTTTCAAATAAAATAAAAAAAGATTTATTTACTTGACAAGCAGAGACAGAATGGGCAATGCAAAGAGAGATCTGTTATATGTGGCTTATTCCCTAAATGCCCTCAACATCCAGGTCTGGGCCAGGACAAAGCCAGGAGCCAGGACTCCATCCTGGTCTCTCCCAGAGGTGGCAGGGGCTCAAGCACTTAAACTATAATCCACTGCTTTCCCAGGTGCATTATCAGGGAGCTGGATCAGAAGCAGAGCTGTCACTGCTGTGGCCTGGGAAAGCAGTGGAAGAGGGCCCAAGTCCTTGGGCTCCTGCACCCGTGTGGGAGACCCGGAAGAAGCTCCTGACTTCAGTTCAGCACAGCTCCAGCCGTTGCAGTGAATTGGGGAGTGAACCAGCAGATGGAAGACCCCTCTCTGTCACTCTCTGCCTCTCCTCTCTCTCTGTAACTCTGACTTTCAAATAAATAAATTAAAAAAAAAAAAAAAAAAAGGCAGAGCAGCCAGTGCTCCAATAAAGGATGCCAGCGTCCTAAGCATCGGCTTAAGCTGGTAGGCCACACACTGGCCCAGTTTCAATATTATGAAAAATGTGGCTATTGGAAAATTTAAAATTACATACAAGGGAACCTCAAAAAGTTGTGGAGAGGTGGGCCTCGTGACACAGCCGGCTAAGCCACTGCTTGGGAAGCCTGCAGCCCGTATCAGAGTACCTGGGATCAAGCCCCACCTCTGTCTTGTGATCCAGCTTCCTGAGAGGCAACAGAGGACGGCTCGAGTACTTGGTCCTGTGTCACCTGTGTGACAGACCCCCATGGAGTTTCTGGCTCCTGGCTTCTGCCTAGCCTAACACTGGCTGTTGAGGACATTTGGGAAGTATGGAAGATTCTCTCTTTCTCTCTCTCTGTCACCCTGTCTTTCAAATAAATAAAGATGAATACATATTTTTAAAATATTTATTTATTTACTTGAAAGGTAGAGTGACAGAGAGGCAGAGGCAGAGGCAGAGAGAGAGAGAGAGAGAGAGATCTTCCATCCCCTGGTTCACTCCCTAGATGGCTGCGACGGCTGGAGCTGGGCCAGTCAGAAGTCAAGAGCCGGGAGCTTCTTCCAGGTCTCCCACACGGGTGCAGGGACCCAAGCTCTTGGGCCATAGCAGAGAGCTGGATCGGAAGTGGAGCAGCTGGGACTTGAACTGGCGCCTGTATGGGATGCTGGCACTGCAGGCAGGGGTTTTACTGCTGTGCCAGCCCTGAATAAATATTTTTTAGAAAGTCTGTGAAGCAGGCAGGTACTTGGCTCAGCAGCTAACATACTGATTGCAATGACTGCATCCCAGCATCCCAATTAGGAGTGCTAGGTTTGAATCTCAGCTCTGCTTCTCATTCCAGCTTCCTGCTAATGTGAAGGAGATGACTGCTCAACTACGTGGGTCTCTGCCACTCATGTGGGAGACCCATATTGGGTTTCTGGGCTCCTGGCTTCAGACTGGCTCCGCCCTGGCTGTTGCAACCATTTGAGGAATGAACCAGCAAATGGAACATTTCTCTGATTTTCAAAGAAAATGTTGAAAAATTTAATTAGAAAATAAGTTTATTGTGATCCAAAAGCTTAGGGGGTCCGTCTTGTGACGCAGTGAGTTAAGCCACTGTGATGCCAGCATCCTATATTAGACTTACTTATTTTATTTGAAAGTCAGAATTCCAGAGATGGAGAGGCAGAGAGAGAGAGAGAGAGAGAGAGGTCTACCATCCACTGGTTCACTCCCCAAATGGCTGCAACAGCCAGGGCTGGACCAGGCTAAAACCAGGAGCCAGGAGCTTCTTCCAGGTCTCCCAAGTGGGTGCAGGGGCCCAAGGACTTGGGCTACCTTCTGCTGCTTTCCCAGGCACAACAGCAGGGAGCTGGATCAGAAGTGGAGCAGCAGGGACTCAAACTGGCACCCAATGGGATGCAGGCACTGCAGGTGGAGGCTTTACCCTCTACACCACAGAGCCAGCTCTCTTCATGAACTTTCCTGGCTTACATCACATTTCTATTGGACAGTCTTGGTAGACTGCATGAACATCTTGACAACTGCTATTAATTCAACAACTATTTTTCCCATTTTAATCCTGTTACCTGAAGCAGTGCTCACCACAGTCTTGCCGGGTGGAGGTTATAGACTTCTCCTTTTTATAGGTCAGGAAACCCAAGGAGAATGTGACCTCCCCAAGGTCAGAACCCCAGGCACTGGCAGATTCAGGATTCAAACCAAGTGGCCTGACCCCAGAGCCTCTGCTCCTCCATGGAACCTACATGAAGAGCTTTGGGGTGTCACTGGCTGGGATTGGGGTGCTGGGGGCATCTTTGTGCTTTGAGTTAGACCAGTACTGTGTGGTTGTGAATCATGCTAATCAGAAACCGGCTGAACACGTGTCTCATAAATACAGAATGAGGAAGCAGATTAATTAATAAAAGCAATGCATTTGGAATAAATCAGATCTCAGGATCTGTGGGCAGAATAGAGCCTGAGAACCACTGATCTAAACAAATATCTCATTTTACAGGCAGGGAAACTGAGGCCCAGGCAGGAAGGGATTTGCACAGGGCTGCTGGCCAGTGGCAGCGCCAAATGCAAAAGCTGGGGTTCCAGGTCCCAGGCCAAGCGCCCCTCTGGGCCTCATCCTCAGCCACCTGGAAGATCTTTATCTTGGAACAGCCCCCTTCCTCCCCCAAGCCGGTCCCAAGGACTAGAGAGGAGGGGGCCAGGAGACCCAACCCACTTCCCATCAGGATCCCAAGGCCACTACCGGTCCTGGGCCAGGAATTCCTTTCGGAGACTTAAAGGGAGCCAGAAATAATTCTGAAGCTTTGGAGGCCTCCAAGAGAGCCCCGATTCCTACTCGGGTCCTGGTCTGGCTGACCCAGCCTCCCTAGGGCCCCTGCTCCCACCCCCACCCCACCCCCACCCCGTGCGGCCTGCCTGGGTTTCCACCTTCTCTCTTCCCACACCGGTCTCCAAACAGGCAGGAGAAAGGGCGACAGAGAAGGTGCCAAGTCCCTCATCCCTGGGATCCAACCCAGGAAGCCACAGGCAGGGGCTCTGAGCAGGAGCCGCTGAGACACAGAGAGACAAAGAGGCACGGGGGAGCGGGTCTCAGACAAAGGGACCGAGAAATACGGAGCGGCCGGATGGAGATCAGCGAGGGGAGAGGGACCGCGAGCTGCAGGGGCGGCTTGCCGAAAGACGGGAGTTGGAAGTAGGCAGAAGAAGCAGAAATGAGAATTTGAGAAAACGGATTGAGGGGCTGCGGGGAGAGACAGAGCCCGGGGCGCCCGGGAGGCGCTCCGCCAGCGGGCAGCGGCGCGCAGGGTGCGGGCGGCGCGGGGGCGCCAGGGCCGCAGGGGGCGCGGGGGTCCCGGGAGGGGGCGGACCCTCCTCCCGGCGCCGGGCCCCGCCGCGGCGTCCGAGCAGCCACATTCCTCCGGGTTTCCCACACACTCGCCATCAAAGAGTCCCCAAAGCCCCAGCTCGCCGCGCCCCTCCCCCGCCAGCGGCTGGAGAAGCTATTTTTCACCCCCTCCTGGTCTTTAATCTGTTGTGGGGAAAAGAAAGCGGCTTTTGTTGAACGAGGGGCTGCGCGGGGGGCGGGGAGGGGGCGCGGGCGATTGTGTGTCCCGCAGCTGCGCGCCGCCACCGCCGGGGGCGGGGGGCGCGGGGCGCTGGCCGCGGGCGGGGAAGGTCGGGCAGGGCCAGAGTGGGGGCAGCCGGGGCGCGGGGTGCGGGCGGGAGGGTGGCAGTGGGCGAGGCAGTGGGTCTGGCGGCCACCCGGGCGCTGGTGCGCATTGTCCTCTTGGCCCTGGCCTGCACCTGGCAGGGAGGTTGGGTGAGGATGGACAGAAGGGACCGCACCGCTGGGGAAAATCGTGTCTCTGGGGGCCCCCAGCGCGACACTCCGGGACAGACAGGAGCCCAGGCGCGCAGCACGCACGCCAGGAGGGCCCCTCACTTACCCAGAGACTGAGACACACACACACACAGCCGAACCCGACACCACAGAGGTTTGTGCAACAAAATGACTTTCAAATGAGAGCTTCTTTCCCCCTTCCATCCCCCTCCAGCTGGTGGCCTGACTCATAAACTCTGCACTCTGTTCCGCCTCCCACAGCTGTGTGACCTTGGACGAGTCACCTCACCTCTCGCGTCTGAGGCCACCGTGAGGACAGAGGGACACAGTACATGTCCGGCTCCGTGGCTGGCGCTCAGCACCCGGGATCCTTCTTAAACCCGCGACTGCCTGGGCCGCTGTCAGGATCCCTCCCAAGTACAAAGGCTTGGACCAGCAGGAGGCGCTCTCTGAGCTGCAGGCCCTACCTCTGCCTTTTCTGGGATGCCCACAGTGGAGCGTGCCCGGAAGGGGGGTAAGGGGGGGAGGGAGCCCCTTTGTGGCCAGATGTGTCCCCTCCCAGCCTCCCTCCTCTAGCAGGCTTTGACCTGCTGGTGGGACTCAGGCTAACCCAAGACCCTACCTAGGAAGGGCAAGCATTGCTTTGCAAGGTTTTTAGGTTTTCCCCTTCTCTTGCTTTGTGTGTGTGTGTGTGTGTGTGTGTGTGTTTTCTTGCTCTGGCTCCCATCGTTAGTAGGGGACCAAATCCAGCTGTCAGCAGCTGTCTGTACAAAGACCCTTGTGCCTGAGGGCAAGAGGGGTGTGTCACAGAATCAGTCATTCAGTACAACCAGCATTTGGGTTTTGAAGGTTTTATTTATTTATTTATTTGAAAGGCAGTTACAGAGAGAGGAGGAGAGACAGAGCAAGAGAGATCTCCCATCTGCTGGTTCACCCCACAAATGGCTGCAATGTCCAGGGCTGGGCCTGTCTAAAGCCAGGAGCTTCTTCCAGGTCTCCCACGTGGGTGCAGGGGCCCAAGCACTCGGGCCATCTTCTGCTGCTTTCCCAGGCCATTTGCAGAGAGCTGGATTGAAGTGGAGCAGCCAGGACACAAACTGGCACCCATATGGGATGCTGGCGCTGCAGGTGAAAGCTGAACCTGCCACAGCACCGGCCCCTACCCTACCCCATCCCCAACCAATATGGTCTCTCATAAGTGAGTATGGGGCTGACACTGAGTTCAGAGGCCCTTGCTACCTGCCAGTAGGGGCCACAGCACTCTGAGAGACACAAGGCAAGTTGAAGTGGGCAGGACAGTGGGGCCAGGGAGACAGAGCAGGCTGCAGTAGGTCCCATAGGTGGCTGGGACTGTCCAAAGGAACCACGAATGAAAGGGCCTGGGACACAGTAAGGTCTCTGCAATGTATTCTTACGACACTTGTCCTTTGGCTATTTGTTAAGTCAGGTTAAATTCCCACATAACCTGCTGATGCGCTCTGAAATCTAGAAGTTCCAAACTTTTTCCTTGATAGGGAAAGGAGGCAAAGGCTGTGCCTTGTCCGTCCTCAGTCTAGAAATGCTAGGGTGAGGGGACTGGCCCCTGTGTGTCTGGGCATTGTGCAGCCTGTCTGTCCTTGTGTGCATCAGTGTTTGGGCCGCTAGCCTGCTTCAAATCCTGTGTTGGGTCCCCACCACCACCACCATCAGCTGTGTGGACAAATCTCTTAACTTCTAGAAAGTGTCTAGAATATGATTATAATAACACCTACCCCCTAAAAACTCTAGCACAGACGACACAAGCCAGAATTTATAAAGCACCCAGCACATGGTGGCTCCCGGAAAGTCAGCTTCCTTCCTGCTCCCCTGCAGTGCCCACCCCTCCAGCCCAGAGGCCAGGCCAGCCATGGATATGCCTTGGTCAGTTGCCACCCACCTGCTAAAGTGAGGGGCTGCTTAACTTCAAGGTGGTGTTGCTGGCTCAAGCCAGGCCTGCCTTGGGTTGGAAGAGAGCACTGAACTCCACAGCAGAACCCTAAACACAGGAACAGCCATTCTGTTCTTTAAGAATAAACATCCCCTAAAGCATGGACAGGAAGGGCTCTGACGAGGACGGGGAGAGCTTTAAATTTCCAAGAATGTGCTGTGCTGTCTCTCTGCATAGAAAAGTTTCCTCTAATACCCTAGCACTGTATCTTGTCTTCCTAGCTAACGGATCTACCCTTGCTTTTTATTACTACTGTTGTTGCTATCATTATATGAGAGCCGAGGGCGGGAGTGGGGCGGGAGAGAGAACCTTTATCCACTGATTCACTCATCCATATGGGGCTGGGAATGCAATCCAGGTCTCTCACATGGGCACCCAGCATCTGAACCGTCGCTGCTGTCTCTCAGGGTCTGCATTAGCAGGAAGCTGGAATCAAGAGCTGGAGCCAAGATTCGAACCCAGGTACTCCCAAATGGGATGTGGGTGTCTTAACTGCTAGGCCAAATGCTGCCGACCCCCACAACGCGTGCACACACACACACACACACACACACCGCTGCTTCACTACCTGGTAGAATGAATAAAGCCCTCTAAGTCTGTCCACACTACCTTCTCCGGAGGTCCTTTGGCAGGAAAGGAGAAGGAAAAGCCCAGATGCAGAAGGACCCAAGCTTTGGAGACAGGCAGATCGGGGTGCAAAGCTTGGATCTGTCACTTACTAGCTGTGTGAACCTAACCGTGCTGAGCCTCTCTCCTTGTCTATAAACCCAGTCAAGGAGAAAACGTATGTGAAGGCAAGCAGAGTTGGCAATTTGGATCCAATGAACCTGGATGAGGATGACAGCACGGAGCTGCAGCATGGGCCACCCAGAGTCCCCAGAAACCCTGCAAGGACCCATGCCTTAGACTTCAGCTTCGCACATACTCCCCTGGACAGCAGGAGCTGTTCATTTCACCTGGCACCACCTACCCCAGCTAACAGGGGCTGTGTCCCATCACTGCACATAAATTAGCTAACCCAGGGAGGACGAGGAGGCGCAGCAGGTCAAGTCCCTGCTTGGGACACCTACATCCCACCTAAGAGTACCTGGTTCATGTCCTGCCTGGAAAGCAGTGGATGGCAGCCAAAGTAGTTGGGTCCCTGCCATCAACATGGGAGATCCAGAGAGAGTTCCGGGCTCCTAGTTTAGGCTTGGCCCACCCTCAGCTCTTTCAGACATTCGGGTGGTGAACCAGTGGATGGACACTCTTTTTCTGTCTTTCCCTCTCTTCTGTCTCTGCCTTTTTAATAAATAAGTACATCTTTTAACAATATAACTAACTGCTGCCCACAGCACTTTCTGTCCTTCGTCCCCTCTGATCGGCCCAGCTGCGAGGCAGGTGGATGTTATTCTCATCCCAGGTCTACAGAGGAGCCGACTGAGGCAGAGTGAGGGTAGGTGGTCTGGGCGAGAATTTAAACCTGGTGTTGATTGTAAACCCTCTGTGTGTTCCTGGTATCCTCTGAATTGCAAGCAGTACTCTGGGGTCCCGCTCACTAGGGAGAGGGAGGAGGGACATGTTCCACACCAGTGGCTGGGAAGCCCTCAGTACACCTTGACAAGCACCTGGTGAGCAAACAGGTACACGCTGGGAAACGCAGCAGACCACATAATGCTAATGACCAGGGGGTCCCCAGGGCTGGGTTCTGGCCACAGGTCAGCCACTGATGGCCCAGTAACTGTGGACAAGTTCCTCAGGTCCTGGGGAAGCCCGCTCCTGCACCATACACACATAGGTAGGTAGACAGGGACTCGGTTTAGGAAACAGAAAACTTCGAAATTAGCAGCACAGAGACCCCAGGACCACATAAAAAAAAAAAAAAGTTAAAACAGTATAACTTAATAGTTCTGCCAGCTCTCCAGAAAATCAGAGAGCACAACATTGAATTTTTTTTTTAACTTTGGCAGTGGAAGACCCAGTTCCTGGAAATGCTTACAAAATGATTCCTGACACTGGGAGGAGATAGTTAAAAGGGGGCGGGAGGGGGGGAGAGAAGGAAGAAGAAAAATTCTACAGATCGCTAAAGGAAGAAGCCCGAGAGAAAGGGAAGTCACAAAAGGAAGAAAAGAGCTGCAAGAGAGAGGGGAGACGACCCGCAAGGGGCCCCGCGCACGGGCGCTCCCCGCTCGCGGCTTCTGCCCTGCACGAGCCGCCCCCGGCCGGCCGCGGCGCCCCGCCCCTCTCTCGGGTGTCGGGCGCTCATTGGTGCGGGCGGCCGTCGCCGGCCGGTGACTGCCCGAGGAAAGGTTGCCTGGGACACGCATCCCTGTGTGAACGCATGACGTCCCACCCTGGCGCCAGGCTGTCTGGGGCTGAGTCTTAGATCAACACAGCTGTGGGACCGGGACCCACAGCTGGGCAAAGGAGCGGATTCCTCAACAAAAAATAGGATTGTGAGAAAAGTTCTGAAACAAAAACAGCGCAGACAAAAGCCTTAATGACATCCTTTCATAAAAATAAAAAATGCAAGAGGGGGGAAAAAGCTGGTAAAAGGCGCAGAACTGGGAACAGAAGGTTCAGAGGCGTTTGGAAGAAGGGGCTGAGGCCCTGCCACCGCTAAGCGGGCTGCAGAAGGCCCCGGCCGGCCGGGCTGAGCGCGGGGCACAGAGCAGCCGCTGAGCTCTAAGCCCTATTCAGTGTTCCCGGCCGTAACCTGCCGCTTTCGGAATCAAACCCTTAAGAACCCAGAGGCCCCCCGAAAGGTCACGGGCTTCCTCCCAACCCCATCTTGGTCCCCCCCCCCCCAAAAAAAATGAGGCCTAGGAAGGAAACTGGTCCAAGGAGCGGCCCTGACAGGCGTCTGCTCGATAACTCTGCGGCGCCCTTGTCCCCGGGTCATCTGTCACACAAGCCCATGGGCCTGTCGGCCGGGAAGCATCCTGGGAAATTCTAAATATGAAGGTGCTTTGCCAACCACAAACCGCTACAGAAGCCTGAGGCACCCGTGGTAATCAATAGAGTAGAGGGAGGGGCCCACCTAGCACCTATCCCCCCCCCCCCCGCCTCCCGCCCCATGGAGGCCCCCAGGAAGGGCCGGTGGGGAGAAGCAGCTTGCAGAACGGGGCATTCAGTAATCACTTGAGCCGATGAGCTCCATTCTGTGGATGGGAAAATTAAGGCACGGAGAGGTGACACATCAATAAACGGAAAGAGTGCGTATTTGCGCATACATCTGCCTGTTCCGAAGGCCGTCACTTTTCTAGAATCTGCCGGGCTTGGCCCATTCTGCACAAACCACTGCGCGGTAGAAGAGAGGCTCTTCTGTGGGGTGGCTGGGGAGTCCCACGACCGAATGGCTGGCACCTGACGCTGGCAGCGTCCTGAGACTGACTGTTCACAGGTTATTCCCTCTCTTATAGATACTAAAGCAGCCCCCTCGTTGAAAAGGTTACTCTCCCAAGAGGAAGATTGTGGAAGGCCTTGTTCTCAGGACACACCGCCCGTGGTGTGACCGGGGCAGGAAGGAGGCTCCTAGACTGGTTCTGCTATGGCAGGTAGTGTGACATTGGACTTGTTTTACATCCTGTCTGGGCCCTTTGCCATCCTACACCTGCCTGTCCAAATCTCACAAAGCCTTCAACATCTACAGTTGGAAAGGGTTTTAAATAATCGCTTGGCACCGTCTCACTTTACTCCCAAGGCAGCTAAGGTCGGGGTATCTGGGTTTGTTCACCATTACCTGACAAAGGACTGGCCGAGCGGGCACACTGAATGCAGGGCTTCTGGTTTCCAGTCCCGTGTCCTTCCCACTGTCACTATTTTGAGTCTCCCAGGCCTGAGCCCCTATTGTCCTGTTAATCAACGCCACACACTATTGAACTCTTCATTGTTTCCTGTGTTGATCTTGTCTCCTCTAATTGTGACATTCTTGAGAGCGGGAGCCACTGTTTTATGCAAACGGAGTCCATCAATATTTGCTGATGAAGGAAGAAACCACTGGGGGGATGCTTCCTGGTCATTTCCAAGATGGAAACCAGCCTTGCGGAAATGCAGAGTCCCCAGAGTGCTGGAAGGTGACAGGAAGGCTGACGAGTGTCCCGTGGCAATGCTGGTCTCGCAGGAGGAGCTGCAGCCACCTCAGCAGGGCTGCGGACAATCAAGTCCAGGTGGCGGCCCTGCCCGGGCAGCAAGGGGGCAGAGACAGAGCCGCGGGCTCACCAGGGACCTCTGCAAGAGCTGTGTGGAAAGGTGCGGGGGTCGGGGGGGGGGGCGTGCGGGGAGCTGGGAAGCAAAAGTTACCCAAGATGTGCTGACCCAATCGGGGCTCCTAAAAAGGTTTATATGGAAACCACTTCTCCTGCTCTCCCATATTGAAAACCCTGTCCAAAATTCATTTCCCAAGTACAACTGGGCATGCATTCGATTCCTTAAGGAGTTCATGGGGAACGAAGCCTCGGCTCTTTTCTTCCCCCATGCAAAAAGCACGCTGGATCCAGGCTTTCTCCTTTTTTTTTTTTTTCTCTTTTCCCCTGTTGCTCAAATAAATAGTGTTCTTTGCTCAAACCCCCTTCCCCTCCTCCTCTTGCAATCTCAGCGCCTAGCCCAAATCTGTTTTCTTCATTGTAACCTCAGCTTCACCGCAATTAATTTTTTTTCCCTCTGGTCACAAGATAATTCCTGACGCCAGTGAGTCTGGAGGTCAGACGAACAGCAAATTGGGGAACAAGGCGGCACTAATTCCTTACAAGTTTCCCTTGAAAAAATCTTTTGCTTAGGAAAAAAAAAAAAAAAGCTTTGCTGTTTAGCGATTTATGACCTCGGAGGAGCTGTGGGTTCGAACCAGTGCTGGGTTAAGGGTGGCCTGGCAGGGGGCAGGGGAGCTCTAAGATCTGGGGCGCTGCCAGGAAAAGGCAGATTCTTGAAGTTAATGGTTTTAAGTGATTTTTTAAATCCTTGCTGGCGAAGAGGCCCGCCTCTCCCCAGCATCAGCGCTTCCTCATTCCTTGGATCCGCGGCTCCGCGGTCTCCGGCGAGCGCCCAGCTCGAAGAAGCCTGTTAGCAATTTAAGCGGGCTGTGAACGCCCAGGCCGGGCGGGGGCGGGGGCGGGGCCGGGCGGGCCGATTTGAATAAGGAGGCGTGTCCCCGAGGCGGGCGCTATAAAGGGCGGGCGGCGGCGGGCGTGCGCGCATTGCTTGCTGCCCCAGTGGGTTTCTGGCTGTATCCTCTCGTGTGCATCTCCGAAGCCCTCCCGCTGCAACATGAAGGCGCTGAGCCCGGTGCGCGGCTGCTACGAGGCGGTGTGCTGCCTGTCGGAACGCAGTCTGGCCATAGCGCGGGGCCGCGGCAAGGGCCCGGCGGCCGAGGAGCCGCTGAGCCTGCTGGACGATATGAACCACTGCTACTCGCGCCTGCGGGAACTGGTACCCGGCGTCCCGCGAGGCACTCAGCTTAGCCAGGTGGAAATCCTGCAGCGCGTCATCGACTACATCCTCGACTTGCAGGTGGTCCTGGCCGAGCCGGCGCCCGGACCCCCGGACGGCCCGCACCTCCCCATCCAGGTGCGCGTGGGAGCCGGGGCGGGGTTTGAGCGCCCAGACCGGGATGCGGCGGGACCCCCGAGGTGCCGAGCGCTTTGCCTGACTCTCCCTTTGCTCTCCTCCTTTTGCAGACAGCAGAGCTCGCCCCGGAACTCGTGATCTCCAACGACAAGAGGAGCTTCTGCCACTGACCTGGATGACTTGGCACCTCCAGGTGAGTCTGGCCTCCCCGCCCCCCGGGGGTGGGTAGGGGCCGAGGGAGGCTGGAGTTGGCAGGCCTTTGAAAGGATTATCCCTTCCTTGGCGCAGGACCATTCAGGCCGGGGCGGGGGTGGGGGGCGCAAGTGAAATGTCGGTGGTCCCATCAAATGAATGGCAGAACCAGTTTCGGTCGAACGTGCGTTTCCCTATTTAACCTTTGCACGTTGCCCCTGGCTGCATGCAGGGGCCAAAGAGCCAGGCAAGGAGGCGCGGTTCTGACCAAGTAAAATAGCCTTTCTGTTGGGAGTCCTTTTAAAGGGCGCTGTGTCTTCTCCGCGACCCCCCCCCCCCCGCCCCGCCAGCAGTGTCCATTCTGGGGGGAGGGCGAGCGCAAGCTCCGCCTGTGGTCCTTTGGCGCCAACTTGGGTGGGGGCAGCGTGGGGCGCGGAGTTATCAGCTGGAGGTAGAGAGCGAGTTTCCGCCCTGGCGCCGGCCAGTCTGCGGACGGCCCCCGCCTCGGCGCGCTCGGCGGAAACTGACGGCTCCTCTCTTCTCCCCCGCCCAGAACGCAGGTGCTGGCGCCCGTTCCGCCTGGGACCCCCCGCGACCTTCTCCGGCCGGAAGCCCGAGGGCATGGATGGGCCCCAACCTCGCCCTGCCCACTTCACTCCCCGAACCCCCCTGTCTCGAGCCTGGACCTGGCGCCCGGGAGCGAAGGACTGTGAACTTGGGTGGCCGGAAGAGCCAGAGCTAGCGCAGGTCACCAGCTGGGCGTCGTCACCCTGCCCCCACTACACCCTCAAAGTTTTCAGACTCTTCCCGTGGGGGGTGGGGGTGAGAGTGGGTACACCCCAAAGTCCGCTGAGGCGGCGGCAGGGCTGGTCTCCTGGTCTCCCTGGAGCAGCTGTTTCCCTGATTATGAACTCTATAATAGAGTATATAGCTTTTGTACTTTTTTACAGGAAGGTGACTTTCTGTAACCGTGCGATGTATATTAAACTTTTTATAAAAGTTAACATTTTACATAATAAACGATTTTTAAACACTTGTGTATATAATTTGGTCTCGTTCCCGTTCTTCTCATTCCCTTAAGCATTAATGCAGAATTTAGGGACACGGAGCCTCCCTGCCACTTGGAAAAGCAGAATTCCCAGCTGACAGGAGGGGGAAGGGGCTGGGGCTCCAGCTGGAGCTCCAGGCCCCTTGGGACTGTGCCCAGGAGAGACCTAGCCCTGTGCTAGGAAGGAGGCGTGGCACCTGGCAAGCTGGGGGCTCAGGCAAGTGGGACACTTGAGTTCTCGCATCCCCTGAGACCTAGCTAGCTGCCCCCTTCGTGTCCTTAATTATTCGTGATGGTTTTCTAGCAGAGATGTGGTAAGAGTGGAGCTTCCAGTTGGCCTTGCCCGGTGCCCAAACCTGTATGGTGGTTGGTAGACCCATTTCAGAGATGAATAAACTGATCACTGGACCTGGTTTCATTTCCCTCATGCTCTCTACTCTGGCTGCAGCCCTGGCTTCCAGAAGTCAGAAATGGAGAGGCCCGTCTCACATCTGCAGCCACTCGCAGGAGGATGTGGACGTGGGTTGGGAAGCACAAGTACAGTCCCCCCTCCAACACTAGCTGGTTTGGTCTCTGACCTTGAATTTGAGGGGGAAGCCCCACAGCCTTGTGTCCTTGGGGTGTTCATACAGCCCTCCCTTGGGAACCCACTTTATCTTTGTCCCCATTTCGGGTGAGGCTCAGTGGGGAGTGGGTCTGAGCCAGGTTCTCACCGTCCCTGAAGCACAGAAGGTGCGTGACCCTTACCTACAGAGACGGCCACCGTGGTAGACAGGAGCGGGACCCGGGACTGGCCATTCCGTGGGCCCAGCCTGGGAGTGGGGCAGCGGCTAAGACCCCAACCCATAGTATCCCCTGCCGCCCCCCCCCACCTGGTGGCTCCCTAGGTGGGCTGCACCAGACGCCTGGCCTCACTAGATTTCTGTTTATGATATGATCTCATCTGTGTGTTGGCCCCTGGCACGAGTTATTTCGATATTTCATAACAAACAGGTCACGTCATCACCTTTCGTGCCTTAACCCTGGTGAGCTTTCTGGGGTGACGAGGGGCATGTGGGGAGGGGCGTAACCTCTGTCTGCTCACCACGCTGCTGGCCTGGCTTCCTAGGATCCATGAACCCGCTACACACACACACACCTTCACTGAGCCATAGGAGACTTCCAATGCCCATGGGAGCCCTCGGTCCCCATCTGAGAAGCCCTTGCTCCAAACCAGTTGCGAGGCCTCACGTGGCTCTGCCTTGGGGATTGCAAGGTGTGCTGGGACGGGTCTGGGAACAGCCACAGATCCCTGCTTTGGAGAACCCCAGGCGGCACGTGCAAGAGCGGGCTCCTGGGAAAGCAGCCCTGAGTCGCCTGACCCCACATGACACCATTCGCCGCCGCACAGCCAGGCCCTACTTTTACTCAACATCCTGTCCCCCTTTCCACACCGTGTGCTGCCTTCTGCCCGCTCAGGAGCTGCAGGACCCCAAGAGCCAGGTGCCCAGCGGCTCAGCTGCCAGTGACCTTCTCCCAGCCTCCCGCCCCCCTCCGGCCCTGCTGCCTCCCTAAACCTAAGATAATGGTGGGAAACTTCTTTGAAATGCATCACACACCTACGAGGTATTATTAAGCTAATTCCAAGGAAATTGCCTGTCAGGACTCCCAGGACTGAGCTGTTCAGGTGGCAGAGACAAAAAGCTTAGACCAGCACAGCAATCCATTAGTCACCAGAGGGAAAGCCATTTGGCTGCAGGTTGGAAAACTCTCCCACCCAGTAGAGTCTTCTGTCAGAACCCCATATGAGTATTTCCCAGGCTATTTTATTTTGTTTCTTAACCCTCACCAAAACCCAGCAATCAGGCATCATTATTCCTAGCTAACGGGAGAACAGAGAGGCTGAGTAACTTGATCCAGGTTACACAGCAAGTGCAGTTGAGGAGCCCTATCTTGTCTAGCTCGAATACGCAGGTTCTGGTTTCATCTCGGCTCTTCTCTGCCCTCTCCTGAGCCGGGCACCCAGTGGGTGCTCGCTGAAGGAGAGACCCAAGGCCACCTGGGGTCTCCCCTCACCTGGGGAAGGCTGGGCGATGATGGTACCTCCCTGACAGTTTGTGGTCCTAGCAATACGCAAGGCGCGCCAAGCCCGGGCCGGGCTCCTGGCACCGCGGTGCGGGCTCTCGGTGCCCTCCGCCCGCTGTCGCACGCAGCCTCCGCACTGGCCCTGAAACACAGCATCGGGGAGGTCGCCTCAATTTGTAAATAAACACGCTCGGAACACGCCAAGGAGCTTGCCCGTGGCCACACAGCTCCGAGGAACAAGGCGCAGCGATTCAAAGCCAGGACGAGACACCACACACGGTGCCTAGCTGGGGACGCGCGGGGCAGCCTGGCACTGGCTACAGGGGCTCGCTGCCCGCACGGCCGCCACTCGTCCCCAGGCCCAGGCTGCACCCCGAACCCTCCCAGCGCCGTCTCCTCCGCGCACAGCGGCTTCCAGGGCTTGGCTCTGCCCACTCCCAGGCCTGCCTCCCGCCCCCGGGAGCGAACCCCCCCCCCCCGTACCACCCCCCGGCGGCTTCCCGGCGCCCGGCAGGGGCGGAGCCTTGGCCCACGTGGCCCGGAGCCCCGCGGGGCGGAGCCGCCCGGCCCCGCCCCCGGCCCGGCGCCCGCGCTCCCCCCGCTGGCCCTGGGGGCCGCTCGCAGGTGTTCGCTGGCGCCCGGATGTCTGAGCTCTGGCTCCGCTCTGGCTCCGGCTCCCTCCGCAGCCTGCGGGCGGGGCTCGCAGCCCATCCGGAGCCTCGCGGCGCCCCCGCCGCTCTGCCAGCAGCGCGGCCTCCCGGTTCCCAGCCTCCCGGCCTGGGGCCCCCCACCCCCACCCCGCGGAGGCCCTGACCCCGCTGCCGCCCCGCTGCCCCCAGCTGCGCCCGGGCCGCTGCGGCCCCGGCGCGCCCCCACCCGCTTCCTGCCTCGGCGGCCTTGCCCGGCGCGCGGCCGCCGGCTGCGCACCCCGTTCTCGCTCACGCATTCCTCGAGCGCCTGCGGCGCGCCCCGCACAGGCCTCTGGGCCTCCCGAGGGTGGCCCCAGGCCCGCAGCTGCTGCAGGAGCCAGGGCTGCCCTCCGCCCTCTTCTCGCGCTGGGATGTCCTCTCGCACTCGCAGAGTTTAGCTTTAGTTGTTCTGGGAGTATTTCTATTGGGGGTCAGTCGGGGTCAAGGTCAGGGGGTCGGCCTGAAAGCAGAGGGAGCGGGTCAGGGTGTGGCCAGAACTGGGGTTCGCCCGTCTGGGCTTG